AGGAAGGCAGGAAGGCAGGAAGGCAGGAAGGCAGGAAGGCAGGAAGGAGGAAGGAACTAGGGCATCACATCACCTCCTAAGTCGTCATAGGAACTGTGTAGGTTTTTTCATACGGAACACCTGCTGTACTCCATGTTCCGTTTCGGTGCAGAGAATGCAGAAACTAACTGCGATCGTGGTCTGGCTTTAGACGAGCGAGGCGACATCACACACCCACACTCAACTGGCAAGCTAGACAGAATTGTGTTTCTGTGGCACTTGCGGCATTACTATAAACTGAGAATGTTAATTCCAGGGGTTCGGCAAGGATGGTTTCTAGATGTTTCCGGAGTAAATGGATCTATATAAATGGTTTGTTACATGTTGTTCCTGTTTCTTCCGGTTTCCAACCCATCACTGAACCACCTCCTTGGGAGCCCTCGAAAGATTCCTTCCTTCGACCAAGCTAGGACCTCCGTGATGCCTCGGTCGATCAAAGACCTCGGTGATCGCAAGGTGCAACAGAGCCTGGTTGAGGAGGTGGAAATGGTTCGTTGGGCCCTCGGAGTGTTGGGGAGATGGTGAAAACACAGGAGAACCGGCCATGAAAATTCGTCAAAAACAGTCCATTCTCGGACACGGGGGGAGACTGAGCCAGTCCACTTTTCACTGGCTTACGGGGCTTTGGATCCCGACAACATAGATCCCAAACAAAAATGGACACGTCAGGCTACCCACGATGCTGGCATCAGCTTACCCCCATCTGAAGACCGGACCACCCTCTATCAGGCACTTTGACGGTCGTAGCACGAAGCAGGGTCCATGGTAGCCTCAAACCACTGTCAGCCTTTAACTTTGCTGTATGACACTGTATGACAGTGTAGGCGTCGACCTAGAAGGCTTTCCAGCACTGGTCGTGAAAACATACAACGGGGGCCAAGGGCTAAGACAGTCCGACCATGACCTTCCTTTATGCTATACAAAAGGGCCGAACGTGGCGGAGAGAAACCTGAAAGTCGATGTACTTGATTGTCACCAAAATATACAATATAATATGATATGTATTATGTGTGTATATATATTTTTTTAAATATATATTACAAAAAAAAACACAATATATATATATATATATACATACGCAAGAAGCCCAAGCATTGCCCAGAGCTTGATCTCAAGCTGACAGGAAACAATAGATTTATACAATGTCAGAATGCATGGTAGCATCAACAACATAGACCAGGAATTTCATGGTGAATACCAGAATACCACAATACTTCTGGATCTTTAGATCATGACCAGGTCACATTCTGTCATCAAGCTTGGCACATGGGTCCCTGCGGGGTCGAGGGAACGCGGTTGCCATGTGGTATGAGCCCGAGAGGGGCAACGCATCGAAGGAAACGGAAGTTGTGAACGACTTGAGGCTCGAGAAGGGTCACTTGGCGTGAAAGCCATTTCAGAGGATCGCAGGAATTTCGCACGTAGAAAGGAAACGGGTTTTGCTTTAGTCCCACTCAGGAACCACTTCCGAGAGTTTAGGTGACCGATCTGTCTGAGGAAAACTAGCAGCTCTGAAGGCCTTCGAGGACATGAGGATCACCCAACCAGACGTTCTTCGGACCACGGCGGCCTATCAAGCCTTGGACACCTTAGCTTTGGCCTTGAGAGCCTGGGACGCAGAATGAGGGGATCACGTGGGCGCTGAAGCCCATCCGCCGGTCGCTGTGGGCGCTTGTGGTGCGTTTCCAAGTCTAGAGGCCCAGGGTTCCTTGGAAAGAAGGCCACAAGGGCTTAGAACTCTTTTCAGAAATCCAGCCTGGGTTCCTTTTTCAGATATGGAAATCCATCTAGAATCCCTTGTGACCCTGGATGTCCCCTTGCTGCGAAACCCAGGTGACCGACCTCACACACTCTCTCTCTCTCTCTCTCGACTCTATATACATATTTCTTTGGTGACAGTCGCAATGTGAGATGTTAGATGGGAAGACTTAGATCACTTTTGTCAATAGTATGTCCACAGGAAGCTGGCGACAATCCATAGATGCACTGTTCCCGTCCTGCAGAAGTACTCGATGAATCGGACAAAACCTTCCCGTTCCTGCCACAGTCGCCTCAGCTTCACCAGACCCGGACCCGGTCTCACGAGAGAGGGCAGCTTTAAAAGTCGCAAAGCTTGTTGGAATGCTTCTTGAAAGTTTGGTTCGGGATTTGCACTTCACCGGGGCCGAGAGGTTCGAAGAAATCACTGTGGTTCTCACACATCGAAGTAGACCAGACCAGCTGGTTTTCGCTTTTTCAGGACCAACATCCATTTTGCATCAACTTTGAAGCTATTAGAAACAAGTGCATCGCTACTAGTAACAGGTGCCTTACTAGTAGTAACAAGACACATTTTGCATCATTTTGCTCTTGTTTGGATTCCAAGGACCTGACGTTCGGCGGGACATGTACCAAAAGAGCTCCATCAGCTCCAAGATTGTCACCTTCTGGTCGCATAGTTGGCATGGTTCCTATTGGAACAAGATGCTGCCAGGTCAAGAAGACCTCCAGTGCTGTCCGTTTATATAAAGTTGGCCCCAAAAAACAAAGCTATGGGACATGGCCCAGAAAAATGACCCATGTTATCCCATGTTCAATATTTGGAGGCTCCAGGAAGGGAACACATGGAATAATTTTGACATATATTGACGCTGTCTGTTTTGGAGCGACCTGAATTCCCGCAATAGGAAGGTGCTCCGAAAGGCTATTGTATGGACCCTTCCAACGGTGATTCTCTTCAGGGCTGATGTGATGTGATGCGATGTCCATTGTCCATAGTGAACATCGCCATGAAAAGTTGTCAATGCCCTATGCATGTCATTGCCGTGATTTTCCTTGGGTCTCAGCGGGTTGCAGCCTCTCCTATAATTGGTTGCTTTGTTCATGATGTCTCCTGTGGCAGCCTGCGGCAATCCTTGCCATGCCGGGCTGGTGCCGACCTTTTTCGGCTGCCTTGTGCAACCTTTTGCTCCTTTTTTTGGGGTTCTCAACTAGCAACAGAGTATGCAGGAGCAGGAGTTGGAATCCATGGTGACCCCTACTCTTGCTTGGACTTATAGAGTTTGTCAGAAACCAAGTGCGGGTCTGTGTTGAAACTGGGAAAGGTCATGCTCACTTGACTGAAAACGGATCGCGACCGTGTGGCTGTGGGCGATGCCGCCTCGGTGAAGAGGCCCCAAAATTCTCGTGGAGTGGTACGAAGCGAAAGGGTAGAGTGACCCGATGCGGATCCATTTTATGTAATACATATAGGGTAATATAATATGCATGTCTAGCAGCAAGGTGAGTGATATCTCACTGAACAAAGAGAGTCCTTTGTGTGCAGATGTTGAAACGACACATGCCCACCCTGCAATAGAATGCTATTATGTCTGACTGGTGTCAGTATCATGAGCTGCTGTTCGCCCCGCATAAATAAAGAAAGGTTAGGAGCAAAGGTAACTAGCTTACGTAGCTACAGCATGCTGCTAGATCCTTCACTCAGGTTGACGCTCTTGGTGATCTACAATGGCAGGGCTGCCTTTGTTTTTGGTTTCTTGACCGCTCTGGCACCGATGATCCCTTTTATTTTGGGTCTGTTGCCCGGCCTCCCACGCAATGAGAAGTTGGAGAGAAGCTCCTTTTGGAGTTTGACCTGTGGCAGTGCTGCTGTACTCATCACCTTCACTATGTGGCGTTCAAGGACCCGCCAGGGTTTGGACCGGATGATTTTTCATGATTTTTCCCGCGTGATTCTGGTGTCTTCTACATACAATTGGACATAGAACAACATGAACAACCGCCGGTGCCTCAAAACAGCTGCATGTGAGATCTAAACATCTAAACATGTTCGCCTCGGTCCGTTGCTCCGTCCCAGGCACCGAGTCTTTCTGGATCGCATTTGCATCAATCAGGCCGACCCAGAGATGAAAACACAGTCGATCAAGAGTCTCGCAGGTTTACTAAGGAAGTCCGACGCCATGTTAGTGCTGTGGGATCACACCTGGAGCGAAAGGCGACCTGGAGCTGATCAGTTGTCAGATCGGGTGACATTGTTTTGACATTTCCCACTACCCCAGGAACCTTAGCACACCAACAGGTTCATCTATTTTTTGATATATTTTTTCTGTTCCTTTGCAGCAAAGGCTGTGGTGTTTGTTCGAGCTTGCAGCATTTGTCCGAAGCAAGTCACGAAGCGAACAAAAGCTGGTTCTACAACCCACTTTCATAGGTCCTGCTTGCCTTGCTACCTTTGTCACCGCTTTCGCCATAGCTGCACCAATTACATTTCTGCCATCCTGGAATCGAAATCGCATTGCTATAGTCTACGGCGCGTTGATTTTGCTTGGCAGTGTTGCGGGCTATGTTGCGATCCTCACTTTGAGGAAATATTTCAGATCTATAGGGATGCTAGCAAAGAAGTTGTCCTCCATCAGCTTTGAGAGCACCCAATGCTATTGCTGTGATATGGATCACAAGTTGGATGGCAAGACCATTCTTTGTGACCGAGAGGTGGTGCAGGCCTGTGTGGTTGCGTGGTTTGGCAGCCAGATGGCGTTTGAGGCGTGTATCAAAACAGAACTGCTGGAAACGGTGATGTTCGACTTGCAGCATGGTGCTTTGACCAAACGTGGGACCCTTGCTGCGCCTTGGAATCGACTTGTGAACTGTTCGATTTCGCTTGATATACAAGGAACTACTGCAAACATTTGCTAACTAAGTTCAACAGACACTGAAACTGAAACGGATATCCCGGATATTTGTTTTCCCACATGGTCACTTTGCAGCCACATATGACAACAACAGCAAATTGTGGGGGCATCAAGATCATCAACTGCCTATTGAATTATGCAATATATAATTTATAGTAAGAATATATACGAATATATATATATATGTGTAGTTATACAAGTATAAGGTGTAACAGAATGTAAGTTATAAAACAACCCAACAAAAAAGAGGGGTTCATTCAAGTCCAGGGACGTTTGTTTTTTTTTCACAAACCCGAGTCACGTTCGTCCAGGTCACCATGCCCATCTTGTGGGCCTTTCTGGACTCCTTTGCGTCCTTTGCGGCTATTCAACACTGGCCTCGTGCCACGTCGCGGTTGATGGATGGCTTCACCTTCTGGCTTCTGCTTGGCCCTATGCTCATGGACTCTTTTTTGAACACATGTGGCAACAAGAAAGTAACTATAGCAATGTAATATGTAGGCAATCTAGATAAATGAATGCATTGGGCAGGTATTGAACATCAATGTTTATATAGTTGATTATAGTTGTAAGTTGTATTGATCGACGTGCTGCCAGGATATGAACATGTATTAAAGGTTTGCGGTTTGTGTCCAAAATCGACAGATGTGCAGAAACAAGTGTCGCAAGACCAAAGAGGTGCTCATGACTCACCGTGCCACGCTTGACTGACCCAGGACTGTCTGGTGCTTCTGTCACGGCGATTTCATCATGAAGGAAGCTCTTTTTGGCGGGAGGCCCTTCTCAACCTGAACGTGCTTCTGATCGTGTGGCTTCTTCAGGCCAGAAACAAGGGTGTGAAAAGTAAACCCACTTGGTGATTCTCCGGTTTGTAACTTTCAAGCTAAGTATGTATCACTCCTATGTATACAGTATTCCAATAATTAATTAAGGACGGACCGGGTTTGAGCTGCCAAAGCTCTCTCTCTCTCTCTCTCCCTCTCTCTTGTGAGGCATTCGTTGTTGGACCTTACATCTTCTTCTTGAGACTTGAGTTCCAGCATGAGTTCATCAGCTCCGCGATGTTCGCTGGTTTCATGGTGCTGGTCAACAGCATTTTTTACGCTGTCGAGGCTAGAAGTCGTTCCAACCGACAGGAAGTTGCTAGCGCGATTTAGGAGGCAGGGATGCTCCGAGCCATTAAGTTTTTTATTTTCCCGACGAAGGGCGTCATATTTTCCATCCGACTTCATGCTTCCAGCTCAGAGGCAGGTGCTGCAGAGACTGGAGAGACCGACATGCATCTAAGAGGTCGATCAAAAAAGGATCAGTTATTATTGTGGTTCGTTGTTTTTTTTCAAGTAGAGGTTTTGCAAGCTGTTCCAATCAAGTCATTGCAACATATCAACTGAGGGAATACTGAGGGATTGAAGACCAAATTGAGCCCACCTCTTCTTTTCCCCAGGTGGAATTGAACATTCCAAATTTCCTCGTCGTGTGCTTTTGGTTGGCCCGCGGTCACATCAAGTTCTTAATTATGATTCAATCATGTTGATGTAATGCGTCTAAGGCACAATATATAATATATAGATACCGCTCGCTGACGTCAGCCGGGGTTTCAAACATTTAACGAACCATGGTGAACCCTTTTTTGCATTAGTTTTTGCCTGTTAACACATGCCAGCAACACAAACGCATGCATATGATTGCATATGTTTATATACATGTAAAACTACAAGCATTCTGAAACCATCTGAAGCCCTATCATGAACTGTTTTCCATGATCCGTTGCATTGGACTCCAGTCGTCGTCCGCACCTCCTCCGCTCTCGACCGAGCACACCCACCGAGGCAGTACCGTGACGCATTTGGCGGAGTCGGTGGCCAAAGTCGAGGTCCAACGGGTCGGATCGAGGTCATTTGCCTCGGGAAAAAAGACCAAACACCTTCAGCTGCAGAGAACCCACCTGGCTACATACATTTGCTTGGAACATATTGATGTATATCATTGTATAAGATTGCACAATGACAAGGTCATTGTTGCTTTGCTTTGGAGTCAAAACATGACAGCCTTCCACCCAGACCCTGAAACAAACAACATTAGGTTTACCCTGGGACTGAACGATCCACCTCGCTCCAATGGCTCTGCCTTCCACCCGCTTTCGCGCGTATTGTTCTTTGTTACTAGTAGCGATGCCCTTTGTTGCTAGCGGCGTTCTTGTTCCTAGGAGCAATGCAAGGAGCTACGTTCGTAGCATTCTTGCTACTACTACTACTACTACTACTACTACTACTACAATATAGTAAAGTCATTTTGGAGATCCATTTTGGCACGAATTGTTCAATCATTTCAGTCCTTCTCGGACAGGAACAAGCTGCGCGTCAACACCCTGCAGTGGCGGTCGGAAGCTGAGACACCCATGGACTTGACAAGCCGCAGGAGGAGCGGCCTGCTCCTTAGGGCTCAAGAGTTGCAGATATAATTGTAGCTTCACCCATTTTTGGCGTCTAATTGCAACATTTGGGCAACCCACATAAACGAAGACATCATCTAAAAAAGGTTAGGTGGCTGATTGTTAGGTGGCTGATTTTTCACACAAACCCCTGCAACTTCTAGCCCACAGACACCTGCTCAGGGCCTTCTCCAGCGGTTGGGTCCGGAGCTAGAAAAGCGATTGTCGCTCAGCTGACTTGAATCAGGGGCTGGCTGCTGTGGACCTTTCTATGGGGGACAAGAATCATGTACAGTAGGATTGCCTCAAAGACAACTCAAAATCTACGGTAGTCGTTCCCTGGGGACTAGCAGTTTGGTCATGCCTCGAGCATGAAACCACTGCCCAACTTCAAACAGATCAACTGCCCAGCAACCTTGTCACCCTCTTCGGATGGAGCTGGAAGTCCTCCCCTTAAGGTCTTTGTGGCCAAAGTATGCCAAAGTACTCATAATATGAATCTATATTTAGCACAAGCATAATCATATAGTTTTCTCTTGGTGATGTGCTTCCTGGACCAAAAGACATGTCATGGTCTGTGTATGAATGTCTGTGTGCTATTGGCATGTCAAGAGTATATATAATTATGAACCGCCCGCAGGGAACCACACTGTCTTTTCCTTCAGTAACAGGGGCTTGGAACCCATTGCCACTTTTCAATCTCCTTGGTGTCCTCGACGAAGTCCTTGAACAAGATATACTTCAATTGGGGACACGCAAGGAGAATACTTGTGTAACAAGAGATGCCCGAACAAATGTAAGAAAAGGCCTTGCCCCCCCTCACACACACTAGGTGTCTCAACAAGGGGAAGCGATCTTGACAACAGGATTCTTTGCTGATTTGCTAACTGGACAAAACATGGGCAAAACAGCGTAGACTACATGCAGGATTCTGTTTGATTTCGCAACAAGGGAACACTAGCGGAAGAAGCAGGATTGCTTCCCTCATCTCTCGACTCAAGCACAGCAGGAAGAGAAATAAACCAATGGGAACAGACTGGATTTCCTCCTTGATGATCTTAATTGTTCTAAGTTCTATGTCCATCGAGTTCCAGCACTGCAGCCGCGTGTTGCCTTCAGGTGGTCAAGGCTTCAGCCAAGCATCGACCGGATCGTCACAGGCGCATCGCATCGCTGTGCGTGCGAAGGTAAAGAGTCGATCTTCCAAGATCTTCCAAGGTGAAGAGATAAAGCCTTATGCAATGGCCTCCAACCTAAGAGCAATGGCCTCCAACCTAAGAGCAATGGCCTCCAACCTAAGAGCAATGGCCTCCAACCTAAGAGCAATGGCCTCCAACCTAAGAGCAATGGCCTCCAACCTAAGAGCAATGGCCTCCAACCTAAGAGCAATGGCCTCCAACCTAAGAGCGATGGCCTCCAACCTAAGAGCGATGGCCTCCAACCTAAGAGCAATGACTTCCAACCTAAGAGCGATGGCTTCCACACTAGAAGCGATCAGCGAAACTTTGGGTTCTTTCCCTACAAACAGCTTCAATTCCGTCAAGTCACGTGCACGTTTTCGTTTCAGTTGTAAATAGACGCCGAGGTTGGCTCATCGTGGGTCACCTGAAGAAACTTTTGGACGCTACTAGGAGCAAAGGGCATCGCTACTAGGAGCAAGGACGCTACTAGGGGCTCCTGGCCTTACTACTAGGAGCAAGGATGCTACTAGGGGCTCCTGGCCTTGCTACTAGGAGCAAGGACGCTACTAGGGGCTCCTGGCCTTACTACTAGGAGCAAGGACGCTACTAGGGGCTCCTGGCCTTACCACTAGGAGCAAGGACGCTACTAGGGGCTCCTGGCATCGCTACTACTTCATTTTCTTTGGTGTGATGTTTGTAGTGAAGGCAGTTACCCAGGCGACGGCAGACTGGATCTGGGGCGTAGATGCAGTAGCTGGATGTCGATGGCACAAGAACGCTTGATTCACTTTCTATTGGAATCCTTATGGATCCACAAGCCATGGAGGTTGATGTCGTCTACTCCATATCTACTCCGAATCCACTGTAATTGCAGACGTCTTTGGACACTTCAATGGTGCCTGATTCGTGGCAGTCGGCTGGTGCTGTTGGAGGGTTTCTTGATGCCAGTGACACCCACCCAAGACACATATGTTGTGAATATCTGGCTCGGACCTGGCTCGGACTGCAACGAGAGCTACTGTAGCTTTCCGCCGAATGGTTCTTTGGTTCACCGTAGTTGATTTGTTGACACTTCATGCTCAAGGCAAATCCGTGCCTTCTCTGAGGCAAGGTCTGAAAAGTTTTGTTGGGTGGTTGACTAATGAAGCCTGGCTTGCTAACCTCATCCAACCTCCAAGCCTTAAAGAACCGTCCAGTTGTTGACAAAACGGATCGAATTCGCAAAGTCTCGGTGCGACTTCTCGGTGCGAAGTCTGGGACGTTGGGACATCTCTTGCTTTCCATCTGGTTTTTTGTGACTGGTTTCGGTAGGTACTGGTAAAGTTTAGAGGATTTCCCGATTCCTGCATAAGACTTCCTCTTTGCTTGGCGTCAGACGCATGCCTTGTGTGCGACGGATTTGTTCTTCTCGGTCAGGTGTGCTGGACAAGGTGTCGGCCAGCTTGGAGGCTCCGACACTGGTTTGACATGGTTTCATGGATTGTGTGGAGGCTCCGACACGCTGAAGTCCTACACTGTTTGATGTTCGACACATCTCGTGAACCTCACCTAAGCCCCAAGTGCTGGAGAGAACAAGCCTTTCAGTGGCAAAGCAGGATGTTCCCTTGACCTGGCATCTAATCGCAACTATGATCAGAACATACCAAATGTCCGGAATCTCTCAAGCTAAGATAGGAGAACCTCCACATACCACGGGCTGCAAGAATCAGATGAAAACTCATTGGTGAGCTCGGGGGTCGCTTTAAATTACATTACATGCTTGGCCCTTACACTGACTTGGCCTTTGTCCCGGCTTCGCATCAATCTGGAAGCAGCGGGTGGATTCGTCGGTCAAACCATTTTGCACCCCTCGAAAGTCAATAGGGATCCGCTTTGTCATAGGTGCTAGAAAGCGACTGGGAATTGGGGTTAGCCATGGTGGTGCATGCTTTCATCATCTTTCATCCATCAACACAGTGGCTCCCATACAAAGCAGATCTATGCAGAAGTGTCTTTCTTTGACTGGTCGGGCGATGCTGCATCGATGCTGACATATATGCTGACAAACATTCATTGGTCTATGGCAAGTCTATGGCTATCTGAAGCTGTCAGGGACGAGCACGCAGCATGGACCTCGCAGAGAAGGCAGAGGCGGGCGGGAAGTAAAGGGGTTTACCAGTGTGTTGCTGGCTGAACCAGGTGTCAGAGTGAGATCTGTCACTGTAGGGGCAATAGACCTAGGGCGCTCAATACTCCAAGCCGCAATTGTTAGAAGAAAGGTTGGGGTTCATTCCTGGCACATGAAGTGAGGGCGAGGAAATGAGGTCATCGTATCAACTGACATACTTGGTTTGCCTTCAACACCTGCAAAGCCGGACGCACAAGGAGCTGGCAAGAATTCACCAAAGCTGCTTTGTCGGAATGATCATCCTAGTGTGGACAGAAGTGGCTGGATTTGAGCCCCCAGCTGCTGGATGTGTTGCTTTTGGATGTCAATCGTCCTTAATTGAGATGTTTTGTGCAGGCTGAGAAGCAGTAAATGCGGAGGCTGACTGAATAGGGTTAGCTAGATGACAAGGCGATCTCTCAAATACCTCCTAAATTAGTAGGTTCCTGTTTTTGATTTCAGTAGCAAACTCAGAACTGCTTCAATAGTGATATTGTTTTGGTGTTTTGTCTCAGTGTTGGTCCTTTCTTGTGCTTGGCCTGTGGCCTGTTGGCTAAGGAGGCCAAGGAGCATTAATCATAATCTGTTCCACGGAGTAATTTTTGAGACATTTGTTAAAGGGCTCTGCCCTAGAAGCGATAGCCTCCAACCTAATAGTGATGGCCTCCAACCTAGTAGCCAAAACATCAGATAATGTTCAATTTGTTCTGTTCGCAAGGGTCCAGACAGGTCTCGCATCGTGGATGTCGACTGTAAAAGCTGTTTCGGCTGGAAGACCAATTGATAGCACTTCACAACACCACCACCCCAAGACATTGTATTGATATGTAAATCATTGTAAATCCTGTTTGGTGAGGGTGTTCCCCAACGAATCATCATCTCTATTTCTTCTTCCGATTAACAGCGCACCATTGCACCATCCATCCTCCAGTGCCACAGGTGCCCGCTGCGACGACCGGATCTCTGGGATTGGAGGCGAACACCGGAAACGCAGACGAGGCCTCCGTGCTTTCAAGAGGAAGACCTGGGGTAAACATGGTAAACTGGGAGGACTTACTTCCAACAATAAAATAAGTGAAGATGTAAGTGACTTCCAGTCACTTTGACTTCCAAACAGTCTTCAATCAAAGTGAAGATGTTTGGAAGTGTGAGCAGATCCACCGGATGGCTTTTAAGATCAGGCAAACGGAAAAAAGAAACACACATACACGCTTAATGGGGATGGATCCAAGGAAGACTCTGTGGGTTCTAATCATACCCCGCCCGCGACCTTACAAGCCACTCTTGCGAACCCAGGAATCCCGACTTGACTGGATCACCCCGACTTCCGATGCTGTGAGGCCTACACATTCCGCCACTTCGACTTGAATGGCGATGGTTTCATCACTCAGGACGAGTTTGACGAAGCGGGGTGACTCAAGAAAAAGCTGGCGACTCTTGGAAGCCCGAACTTCAAGGTCAAAGGGATGGGAGTGCTCTGGGTAAGGTCAAGGTCTACAAGGTTCAAAGGGATGGTTTTTGCCGGGAGGTTCTGATCTTCCCAGTCCGCCGGTGAAGTCTTCTGGGGTCGAGCTTTTGCATCCTGTCGGTCTCCCATATATTGATGGTAGGGGAATGATGACCCCAAAAGCATCTGAAACTTATCAGTTTCACTAGTTTCACGACTGGATGGTTACTGGCACACTGGTGCCATAGCTACTAGTCAAGACTCCACTCCACGTGATGCAGGTGTGTTTTTGGTGTTTTTTTGGACGTTAGCTCCGCAGTTTCGGGCCCATTTTTGTCCCACTGACTCGGTCACAGGTCCGAGCGAAGATCCTAAGTGGTCAGCCTCTTCCAAAGGTGCGGGATTGGTGCGTGGGAAAGATCAGCCGATTTCTTTGTAAGCCAAGGGCGCCCTACCTCGGATTCTTGAGGGTGACTGCCCAGTGCAGATGTTTGGGCACTTGATTTGGCGAGACTTGTCCAATCAGAAGGCTCTTAAGACAATGTGAGGCTGCAGCCAACTATAGAGGCAAAGCTGTATGAAAGGAGTGTGAAGACTTGCAAGAGATGCTCAGTTGCCCAGTGCTGAGGTTTTTTGATCCAAGCCCTGTAGCCTAACGTTCCAGTTTTCTTTGTCACAGCTCACCCCCAATGTCCCAGACATAAAGACCACTTGCACCACCGCACCACCTACTGAACGTTGAGAAACTGGAAAGAAGAGTGAGTCCACCCTGCTTTCAACGCACTTGTCGTGTTTTGGTCTTGAAAAAGAGGGTCGTCACGACGAGCTGGGTTTCGCCAGTGGATGGAAACAGATGTTGGGGATTTTCTGAACCCCTTTTTGATGGTCCAGGAGGTTTCAGAACAGGTATCTCAAGTCAGACATCTTCCACAACCTGTGAGACTAGCCTAAGAAAGGAAGCAGAGAAGACATCCCTTCGTTCTTGGAAATGGATGGGACCTTGTTCCATCCTCATTTCCGATGCCAGGTGGAACCAGCTGCTGCTCTCGAAGAGCAACAAGTTGCAGCCAGCAAGATCCAAGCCGTTTACCGTGGTCGTGCTGCACGAGAACAGGCAAACATCACCGGGGCTCGTGGAAAGAGTGCTTCGGGCCAGAGTGGCACTGGCGGCATGTGCTAAGCTTTTCCACCCCAAAAAGGGGCCAGAGTGGCAGGGCCGGCCATAGTCTCCATGAAAAATGGAAATCCAAAACTCCAACTCCAAAAGATGCCACAACTCCCGGACTTGCCAGTTTGGTGCGCAGCAAAAGGTGCCAAGAAAGAAGGGCGAGGCCTGGCAGGGCGCCGGGGGGTGATCCCGGAAGAATTTGGGACCTGGGCCCGCCACCCAAAACATCACAAAGGTTTCCTCCTCATTGTTTGATGGGTCAAACATGGTCAAAAGAACATGTTTTCAAGGGTTTCAGTGGTTTCAGCTGCTCTCAGATTGAATTGACAATGGAACAGTGGAAGCGACTGGACCTGGTATTTCAGGAATCTTGAGGCTTTCTATGGTTTGATCATTGGTCTTCAGGCGGCGGCTAAGGGGGCCGGGCTCCTTTATCTTTGCGGTCATTGTTTTTGGACTTGTGAAAGGATTTGTTGAGAGAGGTCTGGCTGCCAACATGGAGTGGTTCAATTATACTTAAGGAGTTTTTGCAAGACCATACAAGGGTATCCTTTGGTGCCGCTTGAGAAGCGTACGGTCGAAGTCGAGAACTCTTGGTTGCAGACATGTGAGAGCGGGTGCGAAACGATCTCGTGCTTGAATGTTGGTATCCTTTCGAAGGATAGCAAATCACTCCGGCACGCTCACCAAGGCCTTTTCACTGACGTGCCAACCTAATCTCCGCCAGGTACCAACCCCACAGTTTCCAGTATTGCCGCCTATCCGGATTTAGGGATGGCTCCAAACAGCGCCCGGCTGGAGAAACAACAGCTGTTGGTCCATCCGCGGCTCCCTACCGACATCCCCAGACAACCAAATGCCGGTCATTTGGTTTTCGCCGGCACTTGGTTGTCGCCACTGGCTATTTGGTTTCTGGTTTTTTATAAATAAAATTTACTGCAGGTGTTTTTTTGGAGCGGATCGTTGATATCAACGGCAATGTATGTCAAAATATGGCTGCATGGGCGATTAGGCGACCGACTGGGAAGATGGTGTTGTGCTTTATGTATTGTTTTATTATAGTTTCTTTATTATGTCTTACTCCTACATGTTCTCCACAAAGACCGCTTTCGATCAAGTCAAGCCCGGGGATATTGATAGCTGTTGATATATATATATATACAAATGTATACATTTGTTACGAAAGCCCGCCGATAGGCTAGGCTTGAGCTTTTAGAGCGAACGAGGTGAGTTAAGGGGGTGTGGGGGGTGGGGTGGTCGTTGGTGGGGAGAGCGCTCCAAAGCGAGGGTCAGAAAAGGAGTGAAAATGGGGTCTGGTGATGCGAGTGATGCAATGGACGCCGAGTGGTGCATCATTAGCATCATGAAGGGCTTTGGAGGCTATTTGGACAATGAGCATTGAGCATTGAGTGGAGACAGGGGCCCACATACAGAGCAGACGGCAGCCGCATGTAGGATACGAGTTCCCAGGACAACCCGTAACTCGCGAAATCCATAGAGAACCGAAAGTGACATGAGTTCAAGTCCATGAATTTGGATTGAGTTTCGGAGGGGAGGCCTGCGAGGTTGGCTACATATCCGCATAGGGTTCCTGACCCCTAGCAAAAACTATACTTGCACCATGTCCTCGGTCAAGTGGATGCTTCTCGCGGCGTCCACACGCACCGAACGTTTTTTCCGGCTTGCCGGTGCAGAGAGATAGATAGATAGATAGATAGATAGATAGATAGATAGAGAGAGAGATAGAGATAGAGATAGAGATAGAGATAGATAGATAGATGGATAGATAGATAGATAAATTCTACATACTACCTCATGACGTCGCCTTTGCTGGCAGCCCTGGCCGAATCCAGTCAGCCTGGGTCCACGGCCCAAAGATCTACACATGCAGGTGCCAAAGTCAAGGCCTCTGAGTGAGAAAGGCGCAGAGTTGAGAATAAAGAAGGTGTTTGGATCGTTTAATAAAGGCCAGGCCCCTCTAAAGGAAAAAGGCTGTGTTTTGGATCGAGCCAGAACATGACTCACTCAAGTCCAGGCATGTGCATCGATAGGCGCACAAATCCTCACTGCTTTGCTAGTCCGAGCTACTCCCGCTGGACCTCTCCTTCTGCGCCGCGGGATCAAACGTCCGTGTCCCAGCTAAGACGTGCCCGTTCACTTTTCCAAATCAACGCATGCCGCTTTTCAACGTGCCGCAGTAGTAATTATGCATTGCAGACTTCAAACACTCCAAATGTAACAAACACATAATTGCTTCTTTTCAAACGCATGCCGTACTCGCGCGTGCGGCGACAATATGGAGAAGGTCTTCCTGTGCACGTGGTACCCCACCTCTCGAACTCAGACGGTATTTCCTCGTCGCTAACGCTGATGTCGCCTTCCAACTTCCAGAAGATACCTTCCTGCGTGTGACAAACACATGCCATTGCCTTGTGATGATGACCTACATACAATGTATCGCATTTCTCTTTCACTACTTCTTTCATACCAAACTTATCCCAAAGCCGCCCGGCTTGCTTCTCTGCTCCCGCCATCACCATTACATACCCCCCCCGCATCCACGGCGCCGCTGCCTCGCAAGCTGCCGACCATGTGTCTTGTGCCACGACGCTCGCCAGAAAAAGAGACACTCGACTGGCGGCTGCTGGCTTTCGTCCCCCCTTCTCAGGTATTATATACTGTATACTGTGTATCTATATAGAGGGCTATGTGAGAGGGTCTCCCTTCTCCCTTAGCTGTTGCGCAGTGGATGGCTGGCGGTCGGGAATGGTGGAAGAATGGTTGGAGGCTTGCTGAGGTATAAAATTGGCGCCAAAGGCTTCCAATGAGTCAGGCCATATCTGTCTGTACCAAAACTGGGCTAGACTGATGCGGATTTCGGGGTTTGTGCATGGAGCCACCGGTTGGGGGCCAGCAAGCAGAAGACACATGGCTTGCCTGGACGACACACCAGGGTATGGGACTACAGGTTGACGAGATTCAGGAATCCAGCCATTGTAGTGAACTATTGCATAGGGTTGACGCACTAAAGTCCCGCTCGCTAACTATTTTCACTTAACTAAGTGGGCCTCGTCACTATACCTATCTTTCTTTCTTGCCCTCTTCGCGTGCTTGTTGTTTTTTGTTTCCTTTGTCTGTCTTTCTAAGGCTTTTTAGGTGACTAGTAATTTTCCGGGCCGCCGATATCGGCGTTGTGTGTACAAAGCAGTTGCACAAAATCGGTTAACGTAAGGGGTACAGAGCGCCGATTGCGGCATAGTGTGTGTGCCAACACCTGTTTCCAAGGTTCGTGCCTGGTAAGTATGCCTGCCGCAGGTTGTTACTGGAAGGCTGAATGCTACTAGTAGCTCCTGGCCTTGCTACTAGGAACAAGAGGCCGCTAGAACCAAAGGCATCACCACTAATTGAGAACGAAGAGGCAGGGATGCGGAAAAAGAAGCAGGGGGATGCCGGGGATCTCCATGGTCGGCACCCAACGAAGACACCATGGATTTCCTGTGACATGAGTCAGGGACGCCTGACTCACGTACCTGCGTGTTACAACTTTTTCCAAGCGGTCCAATGCGGTGTTTTGCAGTAATTGGCTAATGCACAAAAAACACTTACCACCTTCAAATGAACGGACTTTCTCACCTTGCGGTTCCTGCGCCACTCGGTTCATTCGAGTCAAGTGGGACTTCATTCTGAACCTAGCTCTTGCGAGCAACCATCTAAGTGTGTCCACTTTTGCTGGTGCTGGGGTATGGGTGTGCTCAATGATGAACTGTTTCGAGGGTCGCGGGTGCTCAAAATTTATTCCAAGATTTCCAAATGAAGGTGGATAGATGAAAGTTGGAAGGGATTAAGGCAAATCTAGGATAGTATTGCTAGGTGCAGTATTTGGACAGAAACCCGGCAAAAACCTCGTGTGCGAGGCCACCGATAGCCTCACGGGCAAGTTGCCGACAGACGCTGAGAAGGCCTGGCCCTACAGAGGTTTTTTCCTTTAGCACATGGGGTACCCTCCGACTCACTAACATGGAAGTGGAAAAGGGGCCCGGAAGATCATATTCGTGTACAAACAGGTGGTTTTTTTTACTTCCAAGTTAGTGAATCGGAGGGCACCGGGTACACAGTAAAAACGGAATTTCGGGGAAGTCACTGACGTCCACTTCTTCCAGCCCACTTATTCGATAGGTCCACGTCACCGACGTCACCTTTTAGAGAAAGGGAGTGTGAACATCGTTAAAAATCTACTGTTTCCTTCGATTTTAGACGATGCCTGGGCGAAGCTGACCCACACAGCCCACCAATTGAGACTGGAAACTGCGGAGCGGACGAAAGGCATTCAATCTTGCACTGACAGTGGAGAACTTGGATGCGCAGAGATCAGATTTTGCGCGGTCAAAGTCCTCTTGGAGATTGAAGTGGGAACAAATCCTCCTAAGGGGTCGTGGACCCAATGGATGATAATCCATGGTCGAATCATACTTGAGGTTGGATTTTTGGGGTTTTCCCACAGGTTGGGTCTTCAACATCTTGCATTGGTTGGGACATATTGTCAAGTAACTTAAGCCTCCCAAGACCTCCTTGGAACCTACTGCATGCAGGCCGGGGCTTGTGGCCCTGTTTTGCTAATGTTGGCAAACTCATCTCCGAGCAGTGAGTCTTAGGATCCAGCTCACCACAATGTCAGGAGCTTGCAAAAGTGATATGCCGCTCCGTGTACAGCAAGATCGCTCTGACTTCGCAGGCAACACGGGTGAAGAGTTTCATGAGTTCCGTAGGGTTCGCAGTCTAGTGGACACAAACAGAAGTTACTTTTTCATGGTGTGCCATGGATCAACAATAATCTTTTGGCATTGTTTGACATTCTTGGGGATTTGCATGGATTGTCATGGATTTATTGGTGAGGGCTGCGGGAGGTCCAATTCTTCATTGGTGCAAACAGGGAACCCCCATTCACCCATTCAAGGAAATTTTGAAAATACATGAAAGGCCTGTCGTTTACGCGACACCTGGTCAGTACTCACTCCTGCCTTGACGCACCGTGTTTGTCGCGGTAGAGAAACCCCGCATCTCCCAGGATTCCCAGGCACCCAGTAGTGACGAGAGAGAGGCTGCCCGCTACGTGGTGTGGAGACCTGGTGCGACCTTCTGCGTCGCAACTGGCGTGACCTCGTTCGAGAGTTGGTCAACAAACTTTCCCCGCGGCACAGAACTTTAGGACAAGTACAAATGTGACATCCCGACCAGTGGCTGTGAACCCTTGGTTTCAATGTGAGTGGCCATGGACCCTTTTGTACCTTGCATCACCGGCTCGGCATGGCGCGAAAAAACACCAGGGAAGCGGGCATCCAAAGGTTCAGCAATCGCTGTGTGAAACTGGCAACTGGAGGCCAGACGGTGGTTGCTGAAACATCCACTTCTAGATACCCTTTAAAAAGGCCAATTATATAATTAGATTGTAAGCTCACCAGCCAACACAAACCAACAGGATTTCCACCCAAATGAGGCCCAAAGATCAGTCTTATTTCGGGCTACGAGCCTGAACTTTAGGGAAGTGTTTGCTTCAGTGGGAAGGACATGTTCAAGGCATCCGTATGCCTTGAAACACGGGCGATGTCCGAAGACTTCCTTTGAAGAGGCAAACATAGACTAAAATGCATGGATAGGGCCTCCAATACTCCCGTACCAGGGCCTCATGGCTCAGAGGCGACCAGGCCGCTGGGTTTTCTCCCCGCCAGACACCACATCCCACATTCAGCTGAAGTTGGAGGTCTAAACAGCATTTGCAGGTCTTCGCTTCCCCACTCACTGTCCGCCGTGCAGCACCCAGGTGAACCATGTCTTAGAGAAGGCGATGGAAGCTCAACCGGCGAAGTGAAGAAGGTGAGGCGGAAGACACGGAAGATTTGACCGCTAAGCCCCTTTGAAGTGATTGCTTTGGTCGAACTCACGGAGCATGATGCGGTAATAATGATAGCTTGTGGTGTTCAGTTGGCATGATTTCTACAATTTATATATGTATTAATATTACTGTACTAAGTTTGTTTGGTGGTGCAATTGGTACACATGTCATGCGCAGGTTTCATTTCAGGTGTCGTCTTGTTATGGCAATTGTTCCAAGCTCCTATTCATGCTGGTTGCTAATACTGCAGATCGCAAGCAGCTGGACTCCGAGGGCATTTCGGCTTGCGGGAGATTAGCAGTAGTTGTCATCTAGTGATGACATGAAGAGCCGAGAAGTGTAGTCTAAGTCTAGGATGCTAGGATATGGCTTAGGTGTGAAGGACTGACTCAGCTCACTTCGCAGAACCATTGATCTTTGATCTTTTCAAAGTTTTATTGCCATGGCGGCCAAAGCAGGGGAGCCAGTTGGGCAGTGGAGGTCGAAAGGAATAATTAGGTAGGACACTGCTGAGAGTTCGCGTACGAGTCCTGAAGCTGTACCCACAGTGTAGGTCAAGCGAGCTTGGCGAAACACGAATCTTAAACTCAGTGTTTCCTGTTATCTCTACATGCCATATCTTCCCACAGGACGCCTGTTGATCATCCTCAACTCCTCGTAGGAACATAATTCGCCCGTCCACCCAGGCGCTGGAAGTGGGCGATCGTGTGACTGTGGGGAACACCGAGGTGCGCTTGCCAACCTTGGGCATTTGACAGCCTTCAACCAGTTCCTCCAACCTAATAGCGATGGCCTCCACACGAACAGCGATAGCCTCCAAACTAGTAGGGATGGCCTCCAACTTGGGCCTCCAACCTAATAGCGATGGCCTTCAACCTAATAGCGATAGCCTCCAACCCAATAGTGATGGCCTCCAACCTAATAGTGATGGCCTTCAACCTAATAGTGATGGCCCAGTGATGGCCTCCAACCTGATAGCGACGGCCTTCAACCTAATAGCGATGGCCTCCAACCTAACAGCGATAGCATCCAACATCATCCAACCTAATAGTGACGGCCTCCAACCTAATAGCGATGGCATCCAACCTAACAGCGATCGCATCCAACCTAATAGTGATGGCCTCCAACCTAACAGCGATTGCTTCCAACCAAATTGCGACGGCCTTCAACCTAGTAGCGATGGCCTTCAACCTAATAGCGATGGCCGTCAACCTTATAGCGATGGCCTCCACACGAATAGCGATGGCCTCCAACCTAATAATGATGGCTTCCAACCTAATAGCGTGGTCCTTCAACCTAATAGCAATGGCCTCCAACCTAATAGTGATGGCCTCCAACCTAATAGCGATGGCCTCCAACCTAAGAGCGATGGCTTTCAACCTAATAGCGATCGCCTTCACACGAATAGCGATTGCCTCCAAACTAATAGCGATGTCCTCCAAATAGCGATTGCCTTCAACCTGCTAGGGATGGCCTCCAACCTAATAGCGATGGCCTCCAAACTAATAGCGATGGCCTCCAACCTAATAGTATCTAATAGTCATGGAGGCCAACCGCCACTTTTGCCCTTGGCAAATGCTAGAATCGCATCCTCGCATCCTCGCCGCCTGCTCGTGGTTGTCCGATTCGGTTGCCTCGATCGAACGTGGCCATGGCCAGTTGCTGGGCACGGTAAAGTTTCTGGGCACCACGGAGTTCGCTGCGGGCGAATGGCTGGGCATCGAGCTGGATGAAAAGGCCACGTGGCGATGTGAGTGGCCATCCGGGAGCTGTGCGGGGACGGAGCGCTGTGGTTAAAGGAAAGAGGTCTGGACGGGTGAAGAGACCCAGTCAGTATAGCCTTGTTTGTGGGGATTGGACGGTTTTCCCGCGAAACATGAATAGAGATGAACAGGTTGAAATTTTGCTTGACCTTTAATTTTCAGGGAAACGTCTCAGGGGTGAGCGTATGGGGATCCGCTCAGAATCGAGAGTTCAGCAAGTTGTTCTTTTTCATTCTTCTTCACCTCCCTAGCAACGAGCTCCGAAAGGCGATTCATGCCAGGCAGGAAAGAATGATGGGAGTGTGAAGGGCAAGCAGTACTTCGATTGCAAACCTGAGCCCGGTGCCAAGTGTGGACATGCAGGCTGTGATTAGTTTGCAATTGTGCTTGTGTGTGTGTGTGTCAATAGCTATAACTGTTGCGGCTATGCACTTGCATAATTCAATTCGTGAACAGCTCTCTTCGTGAACAGTGTAGAAATGAATGAACAAAGGACACGTTGGCCTGTGTATTTGCAGGTGGAGCAAGGGATAACACGAGATAAGGGAAATCACGACCTGGAATGGCAAGGCAACTTGATTATCAAAAGGAGGAATAATGAGAGGAGCAATAGCAAGGCAACACTCCCTCCCCACACGCAGCCGTGCGGTTGCAACACATTGAGTGAGAACACCCAGTGTTTGATGCAACTTCGACCAAACGTTGTTTCAAGGAGATGTTCGCTATGCTCGCGCTTCTGGCTTAAGCAGTTTGGAAGTTCATGGTGACAAGATGGGAAAAGGATTGCTGTTCAAGCCTCGCCTTTGGATCATTTGTTTGTTTTGTTGAGCAAAACGAGGGAACTATACTATTCCAGCGAATGGCTGCAAGAGCGATTGTGTCGGTAGAGCCATGTCCCAGAATCTACTCTACCATTGACAACTCCTGTGACATCGTGAAATCGATGATCAGACGGCTGCTAGTTTCCCCCAACCTCCTACCCCAATGTCATCACACGTCTAGTCGATGACAACTCCTGTCAAATTGATGACACCTCAGAATCAAGGACATCTTCCGAAAACAATGACAACTCCGGTCATGCTCGATGGCCTTGCGGGTCCCTTCAAATACCACGACAAGAATCGATTTCAGTGTGCCAAAAACAGCAATACGGCTGTGATGGAAAAGTTACACATGCTAACACCAAGAAGTCTGAGCAACAAGAAGTACTGACATCAAGTCAGAAACCTTAAATCACATCATGATTAGTCAAAGGTGGATTACATAAAGCACAAATATATACAAATATAGGAACGATATGGAACCATTCTACTTGGAATTCCAATTGACTTAAATAGATCCTTAAAACAATTACCTGTCACCCTGTGCCAAGTGCCAGAAGTTCACCTGGCTGTGAAGATGTGGGCCATATAGGATATAGGATCCGATACGGCAAGGTTAGCCGTGACAAGATCTTCGGAGCTGGTTTGCCCTTCAAGTATCATGGAGTGTGCATTAATATCGTGAAGAAACTCAACATGGCAAAGTGTTTGGAAGTTCCTTTGGAAGTTCCGTGGACATCTCTTGGATCGGATCTACAATGATCTACATATGGATTAATGTCCTCATAATTAAGCACAGAACTCATCTTATTTCACCGTAGCATCGGGCTCTTAAAGGATTTGGATGGGAGGGGGTCCCAAAGACCCCCTCCCAAAGTGCGAGCGTTGCCAACACTTCGTGGTTCGAAGTACCGAACTCTCCATCTGCGAGCCGTGCAGGAGAGGTTGGCAACTGCAGGTATCGCTCAGAAGCGTAGTCTCCGCAGAAAGAGACGAAACTGCGGTTGTGTTCTTGCAGGAGTGTCACAGCCTCCTGGAAGAGTGGATAGGGAAACTTCGTGAACTCGAGGCCAAGGAGCATCCACAAGCTTCGAGCGCCAGAGGAAGAAGCCCGTTAAAGAGAAGAGAAGAGCCCAGAGACAAGCAGACCCAGGAGAAGCCTCACCGACCAGTAGCACCCCCTCCAAAGGCACCGCCCGTCCAGGGAGGAGACCGTGTGACCTCCCAAAACCGAGCCGTTCCTCGACCCAGCCAACCACCGCGAGGTGCATCCAGAGGCCGGTCCCCTAGCAAAGGGCTCTACGCGAAGAAGAAAGCGGAGCCCAAGGCATTGGTTGACACCCCCCGTGAGGTAGAGCAGCCGAGTGAAGTCGCCGCTGACAGTTCCAAAGGGGAGTCAAAAGAGACTCCCACGACCAAGGAGGAGAGGAAAGAGAAGAAGAAGAAGAGCAAGAGTCCGTCTTCAACAAGCTCTTCCTCCCGGCGGAGGAAGAAAAAGGAGAAGAGGCGCAGGGAGAAGGAAAAGAGGGACCGGAAGAGGCGTCGCAGGTCAACGAGCCGAGATAGCTCGGTGTCGGGCTCCCGAGTGAGAGCCGCGAAGAAGAAGGACCTCAAGCGGCTACCCACACCACCGAGGCCCAAGAGCCCTCACACCCCGCCAGGTCCACCACCAGACCCGCCGCCAGTCCCGGCCCGGGACACCAGTCGCCCCCCGCTGGCCAGGGGACGTGGACGAGGGTGGATCGGCCGGTGCCGTATAGCTCCCATCCCCGTTGGTACACGGGGAAGAACAAGGGCATCACCCGTAGGGCCAAACAAGAAAAGTACAACAATAGGTGGTGGTGATGTCTGTCCGCCGGCGACCAGCCTCTCGCGCTCCCGCTTTGAGGAGGAAGCCAGCAGGTGACGTTGGTGAAGCAGTAAAGACCGACAAGTTCACCTACCTCCTTGAACTTACAGCGGCACAGCTGCGCGGCCTGGGTTTGGTGGAGCTCGCTTATGGGTACTACTACGATGGGCTTGTAAAGGTGGCCGGTTACATCACAGGCTTGGGTCGTGATGCGGACTACCTCGAGTTCAAAGTAGCAGGCACTCAGACTGAGCGCTTCGTTGACGTTGTGAGCGACCCAGGCCGACGTGTTTTCCAGCTGCACATATGCCCGAAGGATTGCCGGCATACTCCTACAGGCCCAGATATCCTACATGCCTCAGGCTATTGGGAGGTGGGAGACAACAATACAATGTTGGAGTTGACAGCCCCAGTTGAGGAGGAGCGGACGCTTGCATTCGGGGAGACGCTCAGCGGCCAGGACCATCCATGCTCCTTGAGTTGCATCTTGAGGCAGCCCATCTTCGTCCAGCTGGTCAGCTCCCTGCACATTGATGCCCCCGGCGTCGGAGCAAGCGATGAAGCACATTTCCTCCGGGTCGTAACGCCAGAGAATCAAAGGACGACTTGCCGTGGACCTCAAGAAGTTCACGAACTTGTTCATGGAATGTACAATCGTATAGCGGGATGGAATCCATCGTCTCTTTGTATCATCAGATCATATACCTGGGGAATGTATAATACGGTTCATACTTGAAAACCACATCAACCATTTTATAGGGTTTTTGAAGGCTAGGGAGGGCTTTCTTACATGGTCTTCGCATGCTGTTGCGGGTGGCACTCTGCGTTGCTTCTTCGGGTCACTGAAGAACGCACATTGAACAGTGGTGCTGTCAAAGCCACACAAAACATCTGTTCACCAAGCACTTCGTTGGCAAAGTTGAGAGAGCATTACACCTCGCGTGCAGGAGGAGTTGTAGGGGAGAAACCTTCTCCCAGCGCAGAGGATGAGAAGGGAAAGAAGGCGAAGAAGAAGAAAAAGAAGTTGAAGGAGAAGGGGAAGAAGCAGGCGAAGGACAAGTCAGAGAAGGCGGACAGTGGTGATGAGATGCTGCCTGAGAGAGGGCAGAAAAGCTTGAAAAGCCTTCTTGGGGGAACCTGTCTGGACCCCCGCTTCGACGATCGCTCTAGACTTCTCCGAAAGGCCCGGAAGCTAGGGAAGAAGGAAGGAAAGAAGAGAAAGCATTCGTCGAGCTACTCCAGCTCCACCGGAAGCCAAACCTCAGAGGAAGAAGAGCTTGATGAGACAGGAGAAGGGCTTTTCGCTGAGAAAAAGCGGGCTTTGCGGTTGACGCAGCGGTACCCTGGGTGTCTGGGTGCTCAAACCATAGCGGGGATGAAGGATTTGCTCCTGACGAGCGCAGGCACGCTACATTCGGTGGACCGAAGGTCCCTGCCCCCGCTCTACACCCAGTACTACAGGGCGGAGCTCCATGCCTTGGTGTCGCCTTCAATGGGGCAAGAGCTTCTTACGATCAGTCAGACGGCTGATCTACTGCTGCGAGGACATCCGGCTAAGGCCATAGACCTGTTATCGCAGAGGTTCAAGGCCCTAGAACAACAGGCCCGCGGCGCTCATTGGAGCGTAGCACGCCAGTTAGAACTGGTGTCAGCTGACTCTGTGGGCCTTTCACAAGGTGCGGAGGGAGCAGAAGCAGCTCGCTTGGCGCGTGAGGAGGCGCGAAATAGAACAGCGGTGCAGCGGCCCTACAATGCAATCGGCAAAGAGGGGGGAAAAGCCAAAGGAAGATCTGATCCACCTGAGGGGCGTGAGAAGGGGGACAAAGGAGGCAAAGGGAAAGGCAAGGGGAAGAAGAAAGAGAAGCCATGACAGCCCTTGCCAAAGAAGATAACACCCCCAGGTGGAAACAGGATCAGATAGAAGAGAGGTTGAGAGAGAGAGAGGATGCAGGTGCAAAGTTGGGTGAGGATTCATTGACAGAGGTTGAGAGTGGGTGCATTGATACGTTGCTACAGGAAAGTGAGGCAAGAGGGTTGAGACAGAGGAGAGACTGGGCGAAAAGGCAATGTGTGAGGGAGAAGGTAGAGCGCACGTCGCGTTCTGCCTTAGACCAGGGTGCATCCCGGACATCCGGGTCAGGCGGACAGGCCGAGACGGCCGAGCTGGACTTGAGAGGACGGGAGTTGGTTTTTTCCAAGTCACCGCAGTTGAGCTCCCAGTGCATTGGTCGAGTTGAAGCGCATTGGAAGCCCTTGAAGCTGCAGGGTGGCATGCATGAAGGAAGGGAGCTGGACACGTGTGGTGCCTCCCAATTTGAGGATGGTGATGACAAGCGGCTTCAGTTTGACGCAGGCCGTTGCGAGATCGCCTATGACACCTCGCACAGCACGGAGACAAGTTGGCGACTGGCCTTTGAGCCGTGCCGCATAGCACTTGAAGCGTGTTGTCGAAAAAAGTGCTGAGTTGGGTACAGTGTTGTCTCGGGCATTGGCAGTGGTTGAAACTAGATTAGAGCGTTGCAGCCAGACCAAGAGGGACTTGTTTCCCTTGCCGCTTGCTAGTGACTTGGGGCTACACGGTCGAAGAATCCCAAACTCGAATGCGATGATTCGTGCATTGAATTTGTTGTATGGAACCAAAAGTAAGACACGTGCAAGAGAAGAAGGTATTCGAAGATCATTGTCAGAGAGGGTAAATCAGGTGGTTTTGAATTCGGATCTTTTGGAGGAACCCTTGCCCCAGCTGGACTTCCACAAACTATTCCAGTCCAAGACCGTGGACTATACAGGTGAGGAGGTTCAGGTGGCCCGTTCGTTTCAGTGGAAGACGGTAGAGGCAGCCATGCCAGAGGCTGTGGGGTCTTTAGAGTTGGAGACCTTTTGTGATGGGGGGACCCTCAACTATGTCAGGGAGTTCGAAAGCTTTCTTTTGCCGCCTCAGGACCAGCAGATGGGACGCACCCCTTCGATCATGGTGGAGCAGAGCCACTGGGCCGAGGTCTGCTCGGGATTGTTGCGTCGGGGTGTTTGCAGGGTGATGCATGTCTCCGAACTACACCATGTGGGTGATCGTCCTTTACTGAACGGATTGTTCGCTGTTAGCAAACAAGAAACAGCGGTGGGGGCAGATGGTCAACCTTTTGAGGTATGCCGCCTTATCATGAACCTGGTCCCCACAAATGGTTGTTGTAGGAGCTTGGTTGGTGACACGTCGACTCTACCTAGTGTTGTGGGCATGTCGTCGATCATCTTGGATGACAATCAGCTTCTAATTACTGCTTCAGAGGATATACGCTGTTTCTTCTATTTGTTCCGTACCCCAGCTTCCTGGTGGAAGTACATGGGGTTCGCAAGGGAGGTTCCTCCAGAGGCCCTCTCAGCGTCCTGTACGGGAACCGGCTGGCACCTGGTTACACAGGTGTTGCCTATGGGGTTCATAAACTCTGTAGCTATTGCTCAACACGTACACCGGAGGGTGATCGGACTGGCCCTTAGGGGTGAGAGAGCACTGGCCTCAGGGCATCAGGAACTCCGTCGGGATCGAGGATCTTCGTCAGCAGATCACTTGTATAGGGTCTATCTGGACAACTATGATGAGTTGCGTAAGGTCGACCGCAAGCTCGCTGAAACGTTGGCCGGAACCCCATCAGCATGGACGCTCGCAGTGAGGCAAACCTATGAGGACTTGGGGCTGCCTAGGCATCCGAAGAAGGCCGTCACCCAGGAAGTCAAGGCGGAGGTCCAGGGCGCCTGGCTTGATGGGGAGGCAGGAACGGCGGCTCCCAAGAGCTCCAAAGTGGTCAAATATGTGAGGCTTGCGTGTGAACTGTTGATTCGAGGTCGTGCCACGCAGAAGGAGTTGCAGATTGTTGGAGGTGGCTTTGTCTACATTGCTATGTTCCGTCGACCCCTTCTGGCTGGGCTAAATGCCCTGTGGAGACGAATCATTGAGTTGGGAGATGCTCCTCGGAAGAGAGCCGCACTTGGGGAATCCGTGGAACTTGAGCTCATAAGGTTCATTGCGCTGACTCCGCTTGCCTACATGGATTTTCGCACAGGAATTTCTGAGAAAGTCACAGCCAGTGACGCTTCCACCACTGGGGGCGGATTGTGTGTGAGCAAGGCTTTATCTCCCTATGGTTTGGCAGCAGCTCAGGCCAGGACGAGGGGAGACATACTCTCCCAAGATGATGTCGAGCCTATTTTGGTTGTGTCCTTGTTTGATGGCATTGGGGCATTGCGTGTGGCAGTGGATGCGCTCCGCATTCCGGTAGCAGGGTATGTCTCGGCCGAGATCTCCGAGGACGCTCGAAGGGTGGTTGAAAGCTGGTTCCATGAGGTCAAGCACATCACGGATGTCAGAGACATTGACGAAAACGAGGTTAGTAGCTGGAGTCTTCTCTATCCTGGCGTGAGTGCGGTCCTCTTGGGCGCGGGACCACCGTGTCAAGGAGTCTCAGGGTTAAACAGTGATCGCAAGGGCGCTCTTCGAGATGCCAGATCTTGCCTGTTTTCCCACGTTCCGCGGGTGGAGCAGTTGTTGCGTCGGTTCTTTCGGTGGTGTCCGGTCTTTCGTCTTGCGGAGAACGTCGCGTCGATGGATGCCAAGGATTGCCAGATCATGAATGAGGCGTATGGGGGGCGCCCATGGCTAGTCGACGCTAGTGGAATCAGTTTGGCCCGCAGTCCCCGACTGTACTGGATCAACTGGGAACCCTTGGAAGGTGAAGGAGCCTGTAAGGTCGTGGATGAACCCCATCGTTTGCCCTTGGCAGGAAGGCTTGAGTTGATCGCAGAGGTTGAGGAGAAGGACTTCCTTGAACCAGGCTGGCGCAGAGTCTCGCCCACGCAGGTCTTGCCCACGTTTACCACCTCTCGCCCGTCTCCGATGCCTGGCCGTAAGCCAGCAGGCTTGGACTTGTGCACTGCTGAGGACGTGAGGCGTTGGAAGGAGGATCAACATCGCTTCCCACCTTACCAATATAAGGCAGTCAACTGTGTCACTAACGGTGCTCAGGTGCGTGTGCCCAATGTTCGAGAGCGAGAGTGTATCCTCGGGTTTCCTTTGGATTACACAGCAAAGTGCTACCCCAAGGGATAGCAAAACACGCCCGCGTGGACTGACTGTAGGCTCACTCTTCTTGGAAACACCTGGTCCGTGCCTGTTGTGTGCTATCTGCTCCACTCTCTCTTTTCCATGTTGGGGCAGGTATCTGTCAAAGGAGAGGACTTGTTGCTTCAGATGGGAACCGATATCCCAGCGCGCTACCACCGACTGCGTGCTTCCATCCCGGGAAAGCTTTGGCGTTGGCAGGAGGTTGCAGGTTGGCGTTGGACAGGAGATGTTGAACACATCAACGTCCTTGAGCTCCGGGCGGTGAAGACTTAGCCTGGCGCATCCGGGAGCTGAAGGAGGAGCGGACTCGTTTCTTACACCTTGTCGACTCATTGGTTGTACTACATGCGCTGTCACGCGGACGCTCCAGTTCACGGAAGCTCCGTAGAAGTCTTGCCAAGATATCCGCAATGCTGTTGGCTAGTGGCCTCCAAGGTACCTGGGGGTACATAGACACACACCAGAATCCGGCGGACAAGCCGTCCCGCCGGCCGCTACACCGAAAATGGGTAAGAAGGCTCCGAAAGTAGTTGAAGGTCGCAGCCAGCAGCAGCGAAAAGCGGTAAGGCAAAAACTTGGCAAGTTGAAAGATTTGACCGTGCAACCACGCACTCGGCAGAGGTACGAGGCCAGCTTACAGCAGTTCTTCTCCTGGTTAGAAAGGGAGGGACTCGCTCTCCCAAAGAGAGTGGCACAAATGGACAACTTGGTCAGTGACTACCTCGAGTACCTGTGGGCCGATGGCCATGGTAAGTCTGAAGCAAACAATGCACTTGCAGCACTCCAGGACTTTGACCCGAATCTGCGCCGGAAGCTCCCAGGAAGCTGGCGCCTTTTAAAGGCATGGTCGACAGCCGAAATGCCCAACCGGGCTCCGCCGCTGACGATGGGATTGCTAGATGCCCTCTGCGGTTGGGCCATCATGCAAGGACTTCCTGAGTTTGCGCTGTCTCTGAGGGTTGCATTCTTCGGACTGTTGAGAACCGGTGAACTTTTAAGCTTGACCTCCAAAGATGTCTATATCACCGGACCTAAGGGGCCAGCCATCATCTCATTAGGACTGACTAAGTCTGGAGCTCGTCAAGGGGCTAGTGAGAGCGTCACTATTGTGGACACATCCGTTCTTCCCTCTTTGTACAGTTGGAAAAGGCGGAGTTCAGCGAACTCGTATTTGACACCCAAGGCCCATGTTTGGCGAAAAACTTTTAACCAAGCAATCGCCGGACTTCAGCTCACTGAGCTTGGCCTGCGTCCGTATTCTTTACGGCGCGGAGGCGCCACGTTCTTTTTCCAACACCATGGAAGTTTCGATAAATTGCTGCTCCAAGGCAGGTGGGCAGCGGCAAAAACCGCCCGAACGAAGGACTAGCACAGTTGTCAGAAATGCAGGTTCCTAATTCGCGTATGCGGACCTATGCCACTTTGTATCTTCAGAACCCGATCCTTGAGCCTGGGCCCCGGAAGGCGCCCAGGCCAGGGGGACGTGGAAGAGCCAGTAAAAGACACTTTTTTCTGCATGATAGGGGTTGTGGGAAAAACCCCGGTAAGAGACTTCCTGATGATGGGGGTGAACAGGGAGTTTTTTCCTCAAAGTGTTCGGGCCCAGGAGGCTCCGGTATGGCGGAAGCAGTCCTGGGGGGCACTGGGGGGCACTCGCCTTCCTCTGGTCTGGCGGGGAAGGTCGAGTGTCGGGGCCACGATGAGGTGAATTTGAGTTTCTTGCACCGTTGGTGCTATGTTCTTGGACAAACCTGCTGCAACGCGTGAAAAGAGATCAGTGGCTGTGCTTATATATATAGTTATTATATATTCCACTTTAACCACTGAACATAGGCTTACTTTCGGGAGTGTGGGATCCTTTTGCATCACCCTGAGGCACGGCATTTTCGTCCGGCCTACAGCAGTCACGCCCGTAAAGGCAGGTGTGTGCAGGGAACCTGACGGGTCAGTTGGTTGGTGAGAAGTCTGGGCAGAACGTTGCGGCTGAGGTTCTTAAATGATTTGCGCAAAAGAAGGTCCGGCAGGTCTTTTGATGTTCATCTCAAATCTTTCGAGGGGTCATAGTACTGTACACACATCTACAACACGCTATACATAGAAGGTTTCAGGAATTGCCACACCTGCTTGAATTTGTGCTTCATCCGGCACCAAAGACGCTGGAAACATCAGCACATTCTTGATGATCGGTGCGAGGTCTCTATGCCGGCGTGCGGCGCCTAGATGTGAGACGAATCATAGCCATGGTAGATATGATAGTTAACACGGTGAGCCTCTCAAGTCGAAAGACAACATGGGTTTACCGCCACGAAGGAATCCAAAGAATCCATAATATCAATGTTTTGTTTTCCAAAAACTCAGCACGGCAGTGTACTGGTGATACACATCTTACCAGTGTCAAACATCCAACAAATATCAACTCCGCTCATCTCGGAACCTGGTATCATTGAAGCTCACAGCTGAGACATGTTTGAGGTATCAATGAATAGACTCAACTCGCCAACATCGACTTGGACCATGTGACCGGAATGTTTAGCGAAGAGATCAAAAAACTCGATGACTCCATTGAGTTTGCACAAAGATAAAGATACATATATCATATACCAACACATGGCCATGTTACTTTTAGGGCGACGTTGCACATATTGCCATGGACGTCACGAAAGCGGCGTGATTTTGAGGGAAGAGAAGTTGTCAGTAGTTAGTAGCAACAGACTCCTCGAGAAAAATAGATGAAACTGGGGGTCCTGTCAGATTCAAGACCTCATTGCCTTGGTTTCCGCCTCTAGTCGTGTTGTTTTTAGCACAGCTTTCGCATCAAAGGCGATGAAAGAAAGGTAGCTAGTCCATCTACGGTCACTCTTCTGTGTAATGGATGGCTTGAGAACCACCCAGGGGACGCATCAGCAGGATTGCTCAACCCGTTGACTCCTGCTCAACTTTTCGCATACTGGCAGCCTGCCAGTGACTCCTGCCCTAACCGTGGATTCCGAAGGATCCTCCTGTCCACTGTTGATCACAAGCGAACGGAACAGAGTCCAGCAACAAGTAGAAACCGACATGTCTGGCGGAAGTTTTGGGCACCTGCCCTCCAGTGGCGTTCAGGCACCACTAGGCACCACGAATTCGACAACATATGCTTTGTTCTTCGGTATTCCTCTAGGAACAAAGGGCATCGCTACTAGGAGCAAGGACGCTACTAGAGGCTCCTGGCATTACTACCAGGAACAAGAACGCTACGAACGGAGCAAAGTCGCCACAGTCTTTCCATGTCGACACCCATTTGTTCATTTGTTTGGACGATAGACGGGCGACGATCCCATCCCCCCAGCTCCACGGGCGACGATCCCAGGCCAACCGCTTTGGAGGCGAGCGCTAAACGACGAAGGATGAGCTGGACTGAAACTGGTCAGTTGACCACCTCTACCATCCTCTACCTCATTGTGTACCTGTACTGGGGACCTGTAGTGTGGTGTTTTCAGGCGTTTTGAGGAGCATTTTGCTCTCTTCCTTGTAGATCTCGGACAACCAGGTGCCACCAACGACACGGCAGTCTGCTCCGTCCTGGGCCCCAGAACTTGCGATGACCTGCGAATCCAATGGCACATGCATTTTGCGGCATAGATGTGATCACCAATCCCAAATACCTCCAATGGGTAAGGATCTGATCTGTGATTGTGAAGCTGGTAATTAAACCTGCCAAATTTAAATAGAGCAGGTGTTAAGGCATGTTGTGTTTTTGTTGGTTCTTTTGGGATGGTTGCATGATGTTGCATGCAAGCCTGTTTGCCTTGTGCAGCTCAGAAAGTAGTTTACATTACGTGAATGAACCACAAATCATTGGTCAACAAGTTGAAAGCCTTCCCAATTCTAGCCCAGATCGCAAGTTGTCACCGAATCCGGTTTGGAATCCTGGAGCGCGCATCGTCCACCGTCGCTGGGAAAGGTTACACCACCCAATGTAGCTTTCCGGGATTTCCATTCATACCAATGTGACAAAGGATCGCCCCCGGCCCCCCATCTGCAAATTCTCATGCGATTGCAGTCCCAGGGATGTGTCAAGATAGGAGATACGACTGCACTTTTCTAAACGGCAATGACTGGTGGACAGGTGATATTCTTGCCATTTGTTCTCACTCAACCTGGACAAAAGCCATTGGGGCATGGATCAGGTCAAGCCCGGATGGTTGTATACTTTGAACAACACCAGAACAGCTGGGTCTTGACCGTTTTGATTTCCAGGAGTCCGAGCTAAGTGACCAACTGGTGCTCTTGGTAGCTTACTTTCATGATGTTGGTGGCTGGTGAGGGTCATTGCATAGCATTGATCTAGAATTGAACAGCTTTTCATAGGACACATCACCCAAACATGCTCGTTGGGATTGGGATTTGCACCTTGCGAAAGACCCGGGAGATTGAAGGTAGATGAATTCCGTGGGACGGTGGGAAGACCGAAAAGGATAGGAATGGTGGTTTTGCAGCACAATCTACAGACATCCACCTGTGGAGCTCCTTAGATTTTTGACGATACTTTTGGAGATCTTTTGGATAAGGACATGGTCCTGGTGAGCCTCCAAGAGTCAAGGTTTTCTGTAGGTTCCATTGGGATTGTTCATACATACCCCGGGGGTCCCTGCAGTCATCTCGTGTGGATGGGTTTCGGTGGCCGTTGAGCGGATCCGACGGGCCAAGAGAACATCCTTAGCCGGGCTCAGCTCTTCCAATCCCATCCGCGAGGCCCATCCCTCGTGGGAGCGGAAGTTTAGTGGAGAGCTGAGAAAAAGGGCGGTACGAATCTCTGGCCGCGGGATGACGTGACGTGCAGGTCGCCCAGTCGATGCGGTGACCCAGTCACTCGTGGCCCCGGGCTTCGCGGGATCGTCGGACCACTGGTGACCCGTCACAAATTCTTGGACCAGCGAACAGGCGAGGACGCACACCCCGCTGTCCCCCGTTGGTTCGGGTTCTTTTTCATGTTTATATACCAGATTAATTATATCAGCATAAACGAACATTGGCCCTTGAACCATACACCGATGCGTACTGGTGAAGGGAGCAGAAGGTAGTGAAGAACAGTGCCGCCGAGGAGCAAGAACTTAGGGTATGGCATCAACAAAAAGATGTGTGTTCACTTTCCACTCTGCATTCATGGTATGGTCACACTCGTTTTCTGAGGTGCCACCCGAGATGATGAAGCCGAAGCGCCTCAGTCAGATGGAAATTGAGAAGGCCCTGAACTCATTGGCGGTGGGGTCCAGGTCATAGGGTAGAGCTCCGTTTGCGGAGCAGTGGGGCCGCTATGTAGCGCACAAAATCGCACAAAGCACTGTTTTTAGGGTCCCAAATCAATCTATCCCTTTGTAATCCCTATAATTTTACCATGTTTTACGTACCCCTTCGCCTCGAGCCTTTCCCCAAAAGAATCAGGCCTTGTGAGAAAGGGTGATCAGCGGCCTTCAGAAGCCCTTCGATTTGTCTAAGTACCGGCCTCCAGGATGCAAAAAACATAGATACTTGCGCCGTGCTGAAAACTGGCCAGCTAGACGTGGTAGCTGCAAGATGCTGTAAGTACGCGTTGTCCTCTTTGGGCAAAATGTTTTTTGCGACTCTGAGACCAAGTTCGTTGGTGTCTTTCTTCAACACCCCATTTCATCCAGCAAAGGCATTTCTGGGGACGAAGGGACCTTCCAATCTTTTGGTGTCCAAATTGAATATATATATATATTTATTCTCCCTAGCATAATACCTTAGTGATCCCTATAGTGTATCAAAAACCCTGAAGCCCAAGGTCCGTGTCCAACACCGACGCCGGAATCTTCCGTCCCGACGTGGTGGCCGGACGTTTCAGGCTGGAGCTCAGCTGGAACTGGCCCATGCCATCGAGGCCGAACTCACTAGGAACAAGAAGCTACGTTGGGCTCCTCGCATCGCTACTAGGAGCCAGAACGCTACTAGGAGCTTTTTCGCCTCGGTGGCCGATGTACGGTGCAAAGCTACTAGGAACAAAGGGCATCGCTACTAGGAGCCATCGGACGCTACGAACGGGGCGCTCCTGGCCTTACTGACGCCTCTGTTGTCCGAAGCCGTCGGAGCCATCGAAAACAGACCGTCGTCGTGTGCTCTGCCCATAGGTGAGGTACAGACCGGATCGGTAGGAACCCTCTGAACTCGATGATTTGTGGGAATGGTTATTATCCGAGGCACATGTCCCACGTGGACTTGATCGATTAAACTCTCCGATGGAGTTTGGTGCTTCCTTGTTCTACAATTTTTCCACAACTTATGGACCAATACTTGCCAGTCACTCGGAACAACATAACAAATGTGCTACGATCAATTTGTATGATATATGCAAGCAAACATCGTATACATGATAGCATATATTGTATTGTATTATATTGTATGATATTATATTGTATTATCTTATGTTATATTATACTATATTATACTATATTATATTATATATACACTATTTTTTCAATGTTTTACAATATGTTATACTATTATGATATCTACATATCTTGTATCAACACAAAAGGTTCAACATGGTTCGTTGCCATATTGTCCACTCCCGGAGAGGCACCAACTTATTCCAACACTGAAACGGTGCAGAGCGCGGTACAAAAATGCGACCAAGCAATCCATTGTCACCTACCCATCCCCAGAATGGAGATGAATCAGTTCTTCTTTGAAGCAGTTTGACGATGTGCAGTTATGTAAGAGTCTCCAAGTGTGCTGTTCTCGATCTTTGATTTTCCCCACTGGTCCATCCTTGGCCAGGACCATGATGTCGAGGGCATCCGTCGTGTGTGGTGCCCAGCTCGTTGGGAACTCTTCCGCTGGTGCTTTTTGGGACGCCCTCGCGAGATTTCTCCGATGTGAAAAAAAGCGTATTTAGCAAACTGAAAAAAAAAAGATATTCATAGAATCATATAATCAAATACAACATTCTTTTCCGTATTGAATTGATGGATGAAGGGATTTTATGCTCCATGGGTTCAGTGCTAAGCTGCATAGAAGGAGGTGGTGTTTAACCGCATGCGAGTAACTTTGAACACGTAATTTGCATATATATATAATTAGCACTATTGTTTGAATGCACTTGTGTTCAGACCCCTTTGAATAGGAGTTAGGTTTAGACCAGGTGTGAACATCAAGTGGCCGATCCTTCTAATGACTGCCAACCAGAGGGTTTAGGTTTGCCGGGGTTCTTCTCTTGAGACCTAGAGGAACTATACGCGCTATGCCAGTCATACCTTCAACAGCAATCGACCATGGTTAGTTTGCTTTTTTTATTAGTGGATCAGGCATAGCTGAGCAAAATGGAGTGCTTTGACTGCAAGTCAGACATTGCCCCAAAAATCCCGTTGGAGAAGTTTGAAGGTGTAGAACCTCCCTGCTGACTGGCAGTCATTTGAGCGGTTGCATTTTTTCTCTGGGGTATCAACAAGATAATTGGTTTATTGCTTTTTCGCCCAACTGTTTGTACAAAACCACGGCAGCGTCATGTAGTGTCCAGGTTTTACCAGTGGCAGTCAACTTGGAGCTCGATCCAAAGGAGACTTGGTGGAGTTTCAATGAGTCAAAATATGTCAAGCTGAATACATTGGGAGATCGATTGATGGGTTACCCATGTGATATTCCCCACACTGCCTGTCAACCTCAGGCTAGCTGGTGTTCATTCGTCCACTGTTCTGGGTGTCTTTTTCAGGACCGTCGCCCATTCAACTCCGCGTAACTTGCTTCACTGACGGACTGCCAGAGAAGAAGAAGAAGAAGAAGAGGAAGAAGAGGAAAAGGAGGAGGAAGAGGAAGAGGAAGAGCAAGAGTAGAACAAGAAAAAGAAAACATATAAAGAAGAATAAGAATCAGGAGGAAGAGAACAAAAAAGGACAATAAGGCAAAGGAGAAATCAAAGAACAAGAAGAACGAAAAGAGAAGAAGCAGCACCAGCAGCAGGGGGAGGAGGAGAAGACTATAACTATAGTATAGTATTGTGGGAGATTCTTAATTGTTCACCACGCACTGCTGAGGGCTTCAGGCAGTACACCATCAATAAATGGGGACTCGTGGGTTTTGGAACAGCGAGGCCACTAGGGACCCACGAGACAGCAGGGAGCCTTTTCAGTGGTTTTCCTGTACAGAACTGAATAATTCTTCCAGAGTCACCCATGGTTTTTCTAATATATACAGGGTATGCGTTAGCATTGCCTTGAAGTACGTGCCATTAGGTGACTATTAGTGCGTATTGCACCTTCCCGAGCGTGTCAGACACGTTCTCCCCAAACGGGGAGAGCCCCTGGATTCAGCACAGACGAGGAGATTGAAGCGGCAAAGCGTATTTTGAGCTTCGAGGTGCGGTGAACTGCTTCAGCTGGATTTGCCGGGCACAACCATATATATATATATATAGTCAACATAGTGGGGCACTCACGGCACTCACACCCCCTGTTGACATTTTTGTGCAGGTGTCAGGTCAAGACTCAGATCCTGGAAAATGCCTGCCCTTGGAAAATGGCAGTGTTTGGCAGGGGATTGTTTGTGATTTGATTCTGAAACTGCGAGACTGAAAAGCGCCAGGCCCAACAGGACATGATCGAGGAGGTGGAGACCATTCGTCCACAGCCTAGAGCCCTACAGTTGGAAGAAGAACGCACCCAGCACCTGAGAGGATTGGAACGTCGCGGTATTTATCGGTATTTGGGTGGTGAACTCGGTAGTAAAGTTGGTTGGTTCCAAGTTGCTTCTGCGGCGAGCTGTTAGTGGTGGAATTTGGGGAGGAACCACTTGCTATTGAAGTGGACCTCCCAGACCTTGTTTGGCGCGATGGTTTGGACAATGATCACCCCACATGTAAGATTCAACTGGAAGCCAACCACTAAAGAACCACAAAGCCTGGGCGGGCTGGCAGGGAGTTGGATGAAACAATCTTGCTAGATTCAAACCTGCAGCCAGAACTGAGATGGACTTGAGTTGCCCCAGTTCTTTATGATACGTTATACTTTATTCTATAAGGCATCTTTCGTCCGCCTTGCTGCCCGAGGAAGAAGCATTGCGTCTTTGGCGAGGTCCCTTGCCAAAGTCGAGGACCTCTCCACATGTCAGCTGCCATGGATGCCAAATGGGCGCAGCCAGCACGTCGCCTTCGTAATTCTACAATTTTTCATGTAGACTCCACCCGCAGATTAACATTCCTTGACTGAGATGCGCCACGAGCCACCTATTTAGCCCTGAACCCGTCATCTCAGGAGGGTTCTTTCGCGGTGACGTTGACCCGTGATGCTTCCCCACGGGATACCGTCGAAGCGACCACTCCGCCGTGCGCAGGAGGCAGCGGCCGAGCCTCAGGTGGCTGTAAGGGGCTGAAGAGTTCGGTCGGCGACAGGATGCGGCTCACTTGATCTCGCACGTGACTGTGAGGAGGACTTATAGTGAATAATGATTAACATATATATAATATAAGTTATATTCGATATACTTTTTTAAAATGTAAGATCGTACAATTATCGATATGATATAATGATTCAGTGTTGGATTTGTGGATGCTTCCCGCACAACAAAGACGTGAACGACATTACAGTTGCAGATTCCTCCTTGATTGACTCCCTGGGCCTGTGGGAAAATCGTGATATTGGACACAACCAATCATTATCAGATCATTATCACTCGTCAGTCAGGAACCCTCTTGTTCAGTCAGCGACTATCGGAAAAAAAGACTCCTCAGAACTTCAGTGGCAAGGATCCACCAGGAAGACCCCTTCAGACTCTTGGTATGCGCATGGTTTAGAGATCTTCATAGGGGATCTGGCCAGATCCTTCTTTGTTTCGGCCAGGAAGGACCATGCACTGGCCCTTGGGCGGCCCCAAACTATGAGAAGGATCAGGTTTAACCGTTTAACCCACCAAACGAGGTATCTTTGGCAAAGCTCCGCTTGTTTCAAGTTCGCTTCTGAAGGAACTCACGCACTGGCCGGCTGAGGGTCTCCTCCAGCGTTTAGGGCCAGAGTTGGAGAAGCGACTGCCGCTCGTCAGAAAGAAATGGGTGGGAAGCCACTGCTGGAGAATTGCAATACTTCACAAATCTTCACACCATCCACAACCTGCAAATTGAAAGCCGCTGGGCAGAATTTTCAGTTGTTACCTTGTTTCTGAACCATATTTGTTCTTTTGAATGGTTGACATACCAAGACATGAGACGGCTCACCAACTCTCCCACCATTTCTACCTTCTATATCTTCTTTTAATCTCTCCAGCGGTGGTTGCGTGGATGTTTGGGATTCAAGATCGATCAGTTTCAGCCAGTCCTCCCATGGGTTTCAAGATGATCCTCCCATTTCTTCAGAATGAGATACACACCTTCTCGGCACGGTGCCAGATCCGCTGGAGCTGTTGATGTAGCCATTATGTAGCCAGTCTCCAGGTCGTTTTGAACTTCGGAAAACTTTCGTTTTGACCTGTCTACCCTCTCAAAAAGTCTCCTAAAATGCAGATGCTCCGACAGTGAGTGAGAGTTCTTGAACATCTTCTTCGCATTTCTGAGGTGGGTGAAGCTTCAGCCCAGCATCGACCGGATCTTGACAGGCAGGTGGAGGGACAACTGGGCAGATGGCGAAGACTTTCAAAAAAAGTCTTTGGAGGAGGAACATGGAGGAACAGGAGGAACTCTGACATTTGGCAAAGAGCCATTTTCCAGGGTGGATTTCACGCACAACGCCTGCGTGATGTTCCAATTTCACCCGATGATGAGGCGGAAACAGGATGGAAGCTATAGCAGAACTGCAGAACATTATTTTTTTGTTTGATGAGTTTCCTTGCCGATGAATTCGAGAACAGAAGTTTCTTCGTAAAAACAAACAAACTCCACACGAAGAGACGCCGAGAATCGGTCGAGACCACGTCGTGGATGGCGTGGAGGGCACGTCGTTTTCAGGGTGCAAACTCCCCGAATGAATGGAGCCTATTCGCGTGGAGCATGTAGTGTCACAGCAAGCTTTGCAGAAGATTGCTCGGAGCATAGAATTTCTGATCGGTAGACACAGCTTTGAAAGGATACAGTAGACGAAGCATGGATATCTGGATATCTAAAACTATATATTAATAACTAAAGCTTTACATAGCAGCACATGGTCTTGATAGGTGAATCGGTGTGAGCCAGCTAGCAGAAGTGGCCCGCTGAAGTTCTGCCCGAAGCTATAAAACCAAGCTTTCGCAGCCTGAGTGCCGCCTATAATTTGGGCAAGTCTGAACATCCAAGCACGCTTAAGACTGAGAAATGGGAAAATGCAAGGGATAAATATATAAACATATACACGTACATATCTAAGCTATGCTGTCTTCTGCATGGTATCCAAACTTGAGCCACAGCCATGCATTGAAAAATATTGAAAAGGACGGTTTGCCGACAAGTTCACAGACAATTGGCAGATGTCCAGGTGTCCTGGCCAAAGTCTCGCAGGCGCGGGGAGTCACCGACAGGTCTCCTTGTAGTTCATGAAGGAATTGCTCTTCAACATGCCCACCCAGTAAAAATTCCATGTTTGTACATCATAACATTTCACAGTGCAGACATGTCACTCGTTCGTTTGTGTGTAGGAGCAAGCAGTTGTGCAATCGCCCAATCCGCTCACTTCCAATCGCCTGTGACAGTTTCGAAGAACTTCAAGCGAATTCCAATGGTTTGAAGTCAGGAGCTTGGATTGATGGACCTTGTTGGGATCAGCTACCTTTCCCCCTGCTCCAAAGAAAGGGGTAGAGGCAGATTGGTATTTGGTGTATCATTGGAAGTTCAATGCAATCTGTTTCTTTTTGAGGAGTTGTTTTGAGTCTTCAGAGGAGTCACACCTCTTTTTGTTTGAGGGGGAATGTGCACCAAGAATTTCTGCGACCCGCTTGGGTGGTGTATTTCAACTGAACTCTTGGGAGGACCATCTGCTTCGGCGCGAGTCCAGGTGACCCCTCAACATTGGAACAGGGAGACCCCTCAACCATCCTCAACCCCTCGATTTGAGTGGATGATAGTATAGTGGATGTTTTCTCTAATAAGGCAGGGCCGTTTAGGGGTTTCCCATGGTATCCGTATTTCAACACATCCATACATAGGTCTTCAATATGTCTTCAATGCTTCTGTAAGTGATCCTTCAGGCCTAGAAAAGCACTGCCCAGGTGGCATTCCTGAGTCATTTGGGAACTCATACCCATACAACTCAATGGATTCGGGGAGCCGCAGCCGATTCAGTGCTAAGGCCTACACCTTTGATCACTTTGATCTCAACGGAGATGGCTACATTAGCCGTGAGGAGTTTGAAGAGGTGCTTGAAAGCACAGTTGGAATCACTTGCATGTATGAGAGAACAAATAAACAACCTGATGATGAGTTTTTTTCATCATTATGAGTTGAGTTCCGGTCTCAAACCCCGCAAGTCTGCATGTTAAAAGCATGGTGATTTAGCTCTAACACTTGATCGGCCACCAGACAGATTCTGAAACAGGGAAGCCCAGAAATTCATACTTCCATTCTTTCAGTTTTGTCCTGCTGTTTTTGCTAGCCAGGTTCGAAGGAGAATCTTGAGTGGCGAGCCACCAGCGGAGCGTCAGGCAGGGGTGGTGGGTGGCCTTGCAATGTTGCAGAGCCAAAAAGACTTAAACAATCCCTCACCCCATCCTCGTGATGGAACTAGTTCAGATATCCAGAGATCCTACCCGTGAAACCTCTCAATTCATAGGATTTTGTGTGATACTGTATCCTTCTACTGAGAATCAACTGGTGGAGGGATTATGAAGGATTCTCCCCATGAATGGCAGAGAGATCTTTTTTTTCGATCTATCTTGACAAGCTGGTGGAGGGACACCATGATTTGGTCAGTTACATTCCCGGGTGTGGATCGGGATATTGAACAAAGGGCTGAACGGTTCTTATAGCTCTCAGGAGTGCTGGGACATCTTGATGCACAGAACACCCTAAGGCCCTACCAATTTTTGCTAGCCCACTTCCTGTTACCAGAGGGTATTTGGGGATCTTCTAATCAATATATAGCCCGGGTCCGCCGGCATTTTTTCACATAATATTTGGTAAGGACATGTCAGGACATTGGTATGTCTTGATTCTTCCTGCGACGAGCAAATCCTTGCTTTAGGTTTCACAAGCTTGGATGCCTACTTGTACGTTCGACAGAAAGGGTCGTATACTTTTCAAGTGCGTACAGTGATGCAAATACCCTTTTTGAGAAAGATTGGCTGTGGAGTGTTTGCCTTGTTAAAGAGCGAAGTCAGTCCTGTATGCACCATGGCTGTCTTCTGGATCAGTGTTGATGAACTCTCACATGGGATAACTGAATCAAGCCCTCGCTGATCACTTCCATGTCTGTGTGGTTTCAAGGGCTCCTTGCAAGGGTAATGAGCCCGAGTCAAAGTCTGCAAGGGTTTGTTTTGACTCCAGGTCGAGCGTATCAGTGAAGCGGAGCTCCAAGAACAACAGGCCGAATCTGGCTTTCTGGAGACATGTTGGTGCAAAGCGGAAGGTGAATGACTTAAAACTTAAAAGGTCACTCTTCACTTTGCTCACTGCCTAAACATTGCATCTGAAGAAGCAAACAAGTGACTTGCAGAAGCACCACCTGCAGGGTGACTACCAGACTCACCTGCTTCTGTCGTGATTTGGGGCACAGCATCCGATGGTCCTTTTCCACGCCGCGTGTGGCAGCGGCAGCGAGGCAGCCGCCAGCAAGATCCAAGCGATTTACCGCGGCCGCGCTGCACGAGACCAGGCGAAGCTAGTGAAGCACCGGAACATTTGCTCGTTGACTCTGCCGGTGAGGGATGACATCTATGGGCTGTCGGTGATTTTTTTTTTGGGGGGTGGTGTGTCTTGATCGACGTGATATGAGACTGAACACAACATATCAACCCATATTCATACATATTCATCAATATTCATTATGAATTGTAAAAGCCAAGAGAGACTGCCGCTGGAGCAGGCAAAGAAGCGGTGACAGAACTTTCCACAGCAGTGAATTCTGTCGGGTCCTCCTTCTCTTCCGTCCAAGTCATATGAAGCTTCATCTGGACTTCGTGTCAAGCAGGTATGTACATGTTTAGCCCATCCAATTCGTGCCATTAAATGCCCTTCGGTTACTTTTACAGTTGAACACAAGCCGCAGCCGCCAAGTCGTCGAATCTGAAGAGAGGCTCCCATGTCCGTTTTGGTCGATTCGTCGAAGGGAAGCGTCCTTGTTGAGGGTTCGATTGGTCTTGTTCTTTGGCCCAGGGCCTCAAAAGAGGCCTCATGACATTTCGGCCCTGAAAAGTCACCAGCACCTGCAAAGCAGGCAGCTCCGAAGCAAATCCAAGACGAGGCAAGGCTTTCTGGGAGTGGGAGGTCTCACCCAAGACTGACTAAGACCCTTTTTTGATTGAAAGCATGTTTACAATATTTTAAAGCTATGCTTGGAAAGGCAAATGCATTTGACCTTTACTTCAGAAGCACCACCAGGTCATGATGATAAAGATACTGTTAGAAAGTACGGGGGCGCTAGTAGAATGCAGATTTTTCGATTCATATGTCGATGTCTTTGAGTTTTCCTGTTGACGTTTCTACCTGGGAATCCTACCTTGCAGCCGGCGTATCGCAGCTGCGCCTCGGCTTCCTGGTTATGGGTAGGGCCCTGAACAGCCGCTCGCGGGCCACACGCAGTGGGGGATGGACACAAATCCACATGTCTTTGGGAAGCACCCTGATTGATCCGGCAGAAGCTAGGATTTGTATATATATACATATATAAGTAAACGTGAGCATTGACTCAGTGAAGAACTACTTATAGAGTGAGATTTTGTAAATATGTTGGCCGCCCTGACCAGGAGAGTTCATGAGAGTTCGACAATCCTAGTTCAACAGGCCACAATTCTTTCATGGTCCATTGGAGCTTCACACTTACTTGCTCCCTCAGGTGCCACGGCCACGCACAGCTGAAGAAAAGGCCAGGCAAAGCGAACATGCAAAGACGCAGTGCCTTAAGGTGTGTCAACGTTTAAAGAATTTGCTCGACGGACCCTCGGTTGCTCTTTGTTTGCTTCTCATCAGCTTTTTGTTCAGGTTTAGGCACCCTTGGGTTGCCACCTTCAGACTGAGTAGCAGCTTACAAAAACGACAGACGTGACGAACACAGACATCAAACGTCCAGAAGGGGGTTTCGGTGTGGGGTCTTCGGGGGCTGCGGTGGAACACCGTGTGAGATTCCGGAAGTGCCATGGAAGAGCGAAAGCCCCTCGGTCGGAAAGTGACATGCTTGGGAGCAAAGTGGATCCTATTAGTTAAGTTTCCCTAAGAATCTAGGAACCATGAACCAAGGCATAGCTACTAGGAGCAAGAACGCTACTAGTAGCTCCTGGCCTTACTACTGGCAACAAGAAGATACTAGGAGCAAGGGCATCGCTACTAGTAACAAAGGGCATTACTACTAGTATCATTCTTGCTACTAGTGCGAGTGCTTCTTCCAGGCTATAAGGCTCCCCCCCGCCGCCTTTAGGGCGGCGGGGGGAGCTTCCTTGAAGAAGCGTGAGCTATCCTGCGTCCAGTTCCTAGAAGCGTACTTGCTCCTAGTAGTAAGGCCAGGAGCCCCCTAGTAGCTTCTTATTACTACTAGTAAGGCACTTGTTACTAGAAGCGATGCACTTGTTACTAGTAGCTTCTTGCTCCTGCGTCCAGTTCCTAGTAACTTGTAGGTACTATCTACCTCAGTCCCTACTTACTAGCTACCTAGCCTCCCTAGCTAACCGACCTCACCTCGGCCTACCTCCCCTCAAAAAAGTTATTAGGAAATAGGAAGGGCTCTGAAACATGGAGCTCTTTGAAACTTGTTTAGGTTCACAGCACAAGATGTTCTCCTTGTTGAATGCTTGGTTTTGCGGGACCCTGTGGAATGAGCCCGTGGACGACCACTCTCTCCGACTCCAAGGAAGATCGAGAAATAATCCTCCAAACATCAATTCAATCTACTGTATACTGATATGTCGGAGTGAGTTTGGTTGGGACACTACTTCGAGTAGATTCAATGGGTCCTTACTATATACTGTAGGAGCTGCTCCACTTACTGTATGTTGCTTTTGTGCTGGGGTCATTAGGAGGTTTCTGAAGTCAACTAATCCCGCAATTTCCCTGAGAACTATACCACGGTAACTAAATGATCTAGATAGGAATCGCATGCTACACGATACACACCCACTATTCTTCAATAGATGTGGTTTTATTATGTTGGGCACTAGCAGCCATGTTTGAAGCATGTTTTCCCAAAAGACAGGATCGCTCGCTCCTGGGTGGTTGACCTGGCCCTTGATGTTGTTTCTTTTTTTGCCACGTAGCTTCTTGCTATTTCTTGCTACTAGTAGTCAGTAATGTCCTTGTTACTAGTAGCGATGCACCTGTTACTAGTAGCAAGAAGCTACTAAGGACGCCTAGTTGCTAGTAGCTTCTTGTTACTAGTAGCAATGGCCTCCACCCTAGTAGCGATGGCCTCCAACCCAATAGCGATGGCCTTCATGCTTTGCTACTAGTTTGACCTTACCTTGCTACAGCGGGTGGCCAGGCTTTAGCCTTGGCTGTGTGCCACTCCATCTACGCTCGAGCGGCTCTCCGACAGAAGGTGGGAACACGCACGGGTTTGCGTTTGTTTGGGAAAAAAGAGGACACGCGGTCTATTTGACCCCTTTATTTTCGTTGAAAGTTGAGAGGGAGGGCAGCTGAAATGGTCAAACTTATCCAATCACCTCCTTGTGATTGGAATCTTCGGTTTGGAAGTTGGTCCTCTCGCAAAGATGCTTATTTGGTCTCACATAGGATACAGAACCCTTTCAATTTCACCTTTTTTCTGCGAACATTTGGCTTCGTGAGGCAGTGGATTGCTTGCAACTTTGATGTAGAACTATACTCAAGAAGGAGTCCTGTGGCCTGTTCCATGTCATTTGCAGGTCCTTGCTTTGGGGGAGGATCACCAGCAAGCTGTGCGCACCGTGGCTGGGAGTCCCAAACAGCCGAGATGATGCAGCCGTGAACTTGACAGCGCTGTGCGCACATGTTTGTCCAGGTTCAATAGTAACACAGCGCATGTTACGCATGTTGGCCGTGTTTTGTAATTGTAGAGGCATTGGCATTGCAGCAAGCCTTCAATGCGGATGGGGAACCACCTTGACTGTTGCATATTGCAATTAGATCGTGATAGATATGTGATTTTGAGAATTTTAAGTGTTTGGCAGCTTGCGAGGGGCTGTGAGTCATCACCTTGTCTTTTGCACATCGTATTTTTGGAGACAAACTGTTTTTGATCACGAAGACCCAGCGAAAAACTCGTGAAACACAATGTTGGTTCCTTGAATGACATGTTTGGTCCAAGCCCTCTGATTCTTGCAGCTAGGGGGAAGCTCCACCAGCGAAGCCCTGTTATATTATATATTAATAATATATATATATATTCGCACTGGCTGCCCAGTCCAACAGAGACCAGGAAACCCAAACCTGGACAGCGACTGGCAAGCAAACCGCCCAGCAGCCGCTTCTTCATCATCATAATAGTTATGATTAGTTATTTTCGAAACAGACTCGTCAAAAAGAAACTCAAATAGACGTTTCGCAGGGTTCAGTACTCAAACTCGTCAAACTAAACAGACTAGTTGACTAGTTTAGTATGGCATCCACTGGCCACTCTCACAGTCTCTCTCTCTCTCTCACTCTTTCTCTCTCAGGTGAGACATCTGCTTCAGAAGGCAGCAGTGAAGATTGCTGTTCTGGAGTGTCAGCAGCCGCTGGTCGCGAAACCTCGTCGACCGAACCGGTCGTTGGTCGGTGCCCCGGTCGTTCCAGGTGCCCCGGATCGGTTTGCATGTGTTCGACTCCGGAGTCACAGGTTTACTACGGGCTATCTTGACTGCAGTCTAGGATAGTCTAGGAGTATAAATTCCGGTATTGAAGTGTGAGTGGAGAAGCCCGGTGGAAGCAGGGTACCGCTTAATGACGAAAGTCAGATTTTAATGACGAAATCAAGATTCAAACAGCGAAGCTGCATGGGACAGCCTGTTCCACGGTGTAATCCCACCCCCTTGTTGAAGCGGTTTTTCCAAACTATGAAACCTCAACAAAAGGATACAGCTCAAGGATAAGCATGGTAGTCCAGATATCTCCTTCTAAGACTGTGAGTTTTTTCTTTTCGCAATTACAAGCCTCAGTTTCGCTATTAAAATCTTGATTTCGTCATTAAAATCTGACTTTCGTTACTAAGCGGTACCCTGCTTCCACGAGGGTGCCCTTTTAGTAGCGAAAGACACGTGTTTCTTAATTACGAAAATGTTGCCTTTTCATAGCGAAAAATCGTGTCCTAATTACGAAATTGATGCCTTTAATTGCGAAACTTTCAGTTACTCATATTTACTCGGATTTGTTCTGAATTTTGCACGGTCTTTGAATTTCAACGTCTTCAGTGCCCTACTCGACGATCGATGAACCTCCATTGCAGCCAGGTATTCCAATATTCAATGAAACAGGGACCAACAGGGTCTTTTCTTATCTCATCTTCATCCAGTCAGGTACAACGAATATGCACGTTTTGCTGCTTTTCTGTATCACACTGTCCACCAACACATCAACACTCCCAGTCCGCTGAGGCTTTCCCAATCTGTGGATCAGCAACGCGTTGAAGCGTCCGGGTCCTGGCTGTCCGGTTTTCCCCAAAGTGGGGGACTAATGCTGTCCCGTCCGTGCTGTGGCTGGGATTGGTTGCTGAACAGCAGTCCGAGAAGGGCCTTTCCCTGTGTCAGCGTTCGAGACAATGGAGGTTCCTCACACACCAACGGCCCAAAAGGAACATTTTGGGCAATTGGGAATGCTCGGTGCAAGATTGCACAAGATCGCTTTTGGACATACCTTGGCTGAGAACACAGCTAGGTGTTGTATCCTTTTCTTTGCCTGCCACAGTATACGACGTATACGATACACTATACTTCGACTTGATGGGTGTAGACGGTGTAGATAGCTTCAATCCTCAAGGCAAGGCCCGTGATACCAGACGTTGATCAAGCAAGGTTGATTGGTGTGGGTCCATTGCGGATCCATTGAAACCAGAGTCCCAGGCCATCCATCTCCAATTGTTTCGCTAAGAGGTGACAATCAATCTGTCGGGGTCCAGCAGCTGCCTTGGCGGCCAGGAACTAAAATATGTGTTTGCTAAAAGCATGACCTCAGCTTTGGAGATTTGGAGATCAAAATAGTCGCCGATATGATATCAGTGGTATACTTGGTGATATATCGACCGGTGGGATCGATATGAACGGTCAGAACCTGGATCGGTCAATGGGTCGGTTTGCTCGGTGGTTGGTGTTTGGACGCACATGCAGCGTGCCATGTACTCAGATGCTCAACAGGTACCAATCCGGTGCTATTTAGGCCCCGTGCCATTGTGGAGCGGAGATCTATTGAACATAGAAGATTATGGAAGATCGATTTGAGTCATTTGAGTCCCATGCTTTTCCATCACAAAGTCTCACACCGTGTTCATCACCTGATGATGGTTGTGCGACGCGGTCCATTCAGTGATGAGGTGCGAGGGCATTCGCTCCATCCGTGCCTCCTTGCGACGGATTGAGGTGAAGGGATCGGAGCAGCGGGGAAGGTTGGTAGAGTTTTTTCTGGGTTCTTACAAGTACTTGCCGCACAGACTTCAACTTATATTATAGGTAAGTATCTATTCAAGGAAGTACTTTCATGGACTTGGGTGGATGTAGATTCTGTTTTTGGAGCTCCAGTTCTAGACCAAGAATGTCATAGGTATTTACCACGAGTGGGGCTCAATGGTGCAAGACCAAGAGGAAGTGATCGATTATCATTTTGATCGACAAACTAGAGATTCAAGTTTGAGTGTACAGATTTGATATAATTTGACCAAAACCAAGTTCAATGTGGATAGGCGGAAATGTTGGCATAAGAAAGATGGACTTCTGACTTCATCTCCGATTCTTCACGCGGGGAGACGTCTCTACATCCGATCGCAGGAAGCGGAGCTGAGGGCTGAGGAGCAACTTAATGCGGCATCCACCAAGGTCCAGGCCTGACCTGGTAGCAGTCGGGCTGGGGCGAACCCGACTGGAAGCAGTCGATTCGCTTGGGGCAAGGAGTAGACTTGGCTGACAAAGAGATGGAGCTGACATCGGCAAATTGTGACAGACAGCCTGAAGACAAATCTGCAGCGGATTATTGTAAGATCCAATCAGTTCACCATCACACCCTGTAGCTGTCAAAGAGCAAATTTGATTATATGTTGCTTTTAATGGTCACATGTTTGTTGAGTTGATTTGTTGGAAACATGAGAGAGAGAGAGAGGCATCAAGCATTCAGGACAAGGATGGACAAGGTGTATTTGACTTGCACTTATCACGAAAGGTAGCTTGAGCTACCTGAGTTCTCCTTGCTTTAGCAAAAATGTATTACAATCAGGAGTTGGGATTGTGCATTGAATTTGGTCCTGTAAGAGTTGATTCTGTTCGTCGGGGGGGGGGGGCCCCCCCCCCTGAAAAGTAGAGCCTACCTGTACAGGGTTCCACTCCAACAGCTGATATAGTGTGTCCATGCTTGACTGCTTCAAGGCTCAAAGAGCAAGAGGATAAGACTCTGCGCATAAAAGACACTAGCGGTCTGCACCTCTACCGTGTACGCCCTAGTCACTCTTTCAGTGGTAGCGGAGCAGTGATCCTGGAAGACCCAGGTGAGCTCCTTTCCTAGGCATAGAATTGCTTGTGGGCAAACAGCCATGGATTGGATTGACGATTGGGAAGAGCCTGATGCGGATGTGGCTTATGAGCCAGCAGCCTACGTGAATAGGCATGTGAGAAGAGAACCAGCAGCAATAGCAATGACAACACAGGTCACTACAAAGGTGCCCCCATCTTATGATGGAAAGACTTCATGGTTTTCCTATGAGGATGCCATAGACGATTGGTGTGATATCACCGAGCTGGAAGATGAGAAAAGAGGACCAGCATTGAGAAACAGATTAGAAGGAGAAGCAGCTGTATACAAGCGTGTTTTAGACAGAGATGCATTGAAGGCAAATGATCCACCAGGAGCCGGCGTAGAATATTTCAAACGAGTACTACGACCATATTTCGTGAAAGGATCAACCAATGTATTCCTGTATAGGTTCATGCAATTCGTGCGCTTCAATCGAGGATCAGCTGACATGATGAAATGGATGACAAGATTCCAGATTTTACTCCAAAGGCTTATGAGCAGTTGGATGGACATGTTCCAACCAGTCACTCAAGCACATCCACAAGTCCTAGCTCAGATGCAGGCAGATGCAGCGTTGACTGGAACAGCACCAACGGCAGAAAGGATTCAGGAAATCATGCAGACCATCAATGGCAACATGAGGACCTTTCATCAGAACGAATTTCCTCTAGGAGAAAATCTCATTGCCTTACTCATGATGTCACTTGCAGATTTGTCTCAGGACCAGCGAAACACTTTGACTTCATTGATGACTCATCGTGGCAGGGTCCTGCAGCAATACACCACAACAGAGTTGAGGACAGTGTTCATTGAGATGTTCTGCACGACAAAGACTTCAGTAGACAATCCTTTGATGCAGCCGACAGGTGCTGGAGGTAGAAGATCATTTCTCGTACTAGACGAAGGAGAACTAGATGGTACATTTGGCTATTGGGCCGAAGATGAAGAAGATGGAACTGAAGGATTTTTAGATGCCCTGGACGATGTCTTTTGGGTATATGATGATCAAAACTTCTCATGGTTCCAAAGGAGATTCCAAGGAAGAAGAGCCAGAAAAGGCAAAGGAAAAGGAAGAAGAAAGGGAAAAGGTAAAGGAAGATCAGGCCGCAGATTCTTCAGACCTCGTGGAAAAGGAAAAGGAAAGAGACGAGGTAAAGGCCATTTTGCTGATGAGCAACAGACAACATATCCAGAAGAGTACTTTGAAGAGAATCCTTATGAGGACACTTGGGAGTCAAACCAAGTAGCATATGATGCCATCCTTGCCGAAGATATGAATGACTATCTTCAAGGAGAATATGATGATGCCAATGACTTTTGGCAACAGCTTGAAGAAGCATGGTTTTCCCACAAAGGAAAAGGAAAAGGCAAGAGAAAAGGCAAGAAGGGAAAAGGAAAAGATAAAGGAGATGGCAAACAAGATGCAAACTATGCAAATCCACAACAGCCACGTTCTTTACCTGCACCTTCAAGATCTTCACAAGCATCAGGAGGTCAACAAGGTTTCTTTGCACATTGTGTGACAGCAGCAGCTGTAGTCCATGACAGTGAGGTGGACTTGCTGTCAGGCATGATGACCTCATGTCAAGATGAAGCTGACTGCGCGGTCAACAATGGTGAGACGATCTTCAATGGCATGGGTGCCCCTGTGAGGTACTCTTTGTCAAAGGAGATGCTCACAAAGGCTCCTGATGGCTTTGCGCTTATGAGCGCTGAGGAAGAAGTGAAGGAGATGCAGGCCATTTCATTTTTGACTGAGAATCGCTTCCCGCCGACTATTGCAATCCTGGACATTGGATGCACTAGAGCTATGGGATCAAGGCGAGCAGTCGACCATTTTTGCAACTATGTCGACAATCACCCAGATTGTGGATTATGGTACTCTTTTGAGTCTACCAAGAGCAAGTTTTACTTTGCCAATTCCCAGAAGGCTACTTGCTCGCAGAAACTGGTGATTTACATGTATGATCGTGCATGGACGATCCACCATACAGAGTTCGACATAGTGGAAGAAGGAGAAGTCCCTTTGCTTATGAGCTTGCCACAGATGAGGAACTTAGGCTTTGAACTCAGGCTGACACCTCAACATGCTTATCAGACATCGGTGCCTCTTGGTATCAAATATTTGGAGTTGAAGGTTGCAGCCAGTACTCATCTTG